TACTTTATATGGAGGATTAACCTTCCCCACATGCACACACATGTGCATACATGTACACATGAATGTGTACGCATCTGGGCACACTTAGGCAGGCCAAGGCAGGTAGGTGGTACAGAAGGTAGAGCACTGGGCCTAGAGTCAAGAAGATCTAAATTCATATCTATCCTTGGACACTGCTTAGCTATGTGGCCCTGGCAAAATCACTTTCACTCTGTCTGCCTCAGTTTCCTCAAACATAAATTTGGAATAATAATGGCACTTCCCTCCCAGGGCTGTTGTCAGGATCAAATGAACTAATATTCGTAAAGTGCTTAGCACAGTAAATGCATCCAGTAGGAGCTTAATAAATGCTTGTCTCCCCCACCCCCAACACACATACACAGACACACACAGAAACACACACTCATGTGGATTATGTAGAAGACAGAGAACAATTTCAAGATCCTAGATCTTGACCTAGAAGGGTCCTTCTAAGGGACCAACCCTCCCCCCATTTTACAGATGAAGAAAACAAGTTCCACAGGGGTGAAGGGACTGACCTAGGGCCACACAGCCAGGGAATGGCAGAGGTCCCTCAGCTTCTGGTCTCCTCCCCCATCCCCCAGGAGGCCATCGCCCTCTGTCCCCCTCATGCAGATGCTGCTAAGAGGCAGACTGGAGAAGGGTCTGAGCATGGACCCTTTAACGAAGTCTTTTCTGTGTAGGACTGGATCCTGTCCACGCTGGGCAAGAAGGACAATTCCAGGGAAAAGAGGTAGGTCTGGGGTGAGATGCAGGCTCCTTTATAAAATCTGTTGCCCATCCTGACCTGCCTGCCTGGACCACCAGCCTCTCAGGACCTTCTGTCCTAAGCCCAAACGACTCCTCTTAGCCCACCCAGGGACCTGGGGTCCCAGACGGGAAGGTCACGAAAGGGGGATGGGAGACGGCCCTTCGCTCATCCCCCAGTGGCTTTTCTCCTGGGCAGGAACAGCGTCGCCAAGGTCCACATATTCTATCAGCAGCTCAATTATCGCTCCGTGGATGAAACTCCAGTGTATTCGGTGAGCATCGAGTCTGGAGCTGGGCTAGGCCAAAAGTGGCTGGGCAGAGAGGCCAGGGGAATGGGACTGAACCCTGAGGGCCCTGAGGGAGAGGGGCTAGGGTCCTGCTGGAAGCTGAACAGAGGGCCTGGGTGCAAGGAAAGAGGCTGGACTCTGTGGTCCCTGGGGCTGGGCCTAGAAGAGCTGGGGAACTAGAGGGAAGAGACCAGGACACTAGGAAATGGGCAGATGAATGCGTAGAGACTGGGATGGGAGGAATGGGCCCGAGGGGAAAGGGCTGGGTCCCAGGGAAGAAAGGCCAAGCAGAGCATAGTACCTAGAGGGGGCAAGGCTTTGGGCTGTGTCCAGTTGCTGGGGCCTGGGCTGGGGAGAGAGTGCCTGGCCGGGCTGTGCTGCTCACACTCCCCGGGCCTGTTCCCTCCCCTCGGCAGGTCACCCAGCTCCTGTCATACATGGGCAGTCTGTGGAGCCTGTGGTTTGGGTCCTCAGTGCTCTCTGTCGTGGAAATGCTGGAGCTCCTGCTGGATGCAGCGGCCCTGGCCCTCGTCCTGGGCTACCGCCGCTTCCTTGGGTCCAGGACGATGAACGTGGGGGCCTTGGAGGGGCCTGGAGAGGGAGCGAGGGCGCTGGCCATCCAGCAGGACCTATCTTGGCCTCCGTGGGAGACTGAGACCACCTCCAGAAGCTCCATTTCAGGAGGGGGCCCCCTTCAGGGACCTTCTGTCCGCATCCCGGTCTATGGGCGATTCCAAGGGCCCTGGCTGCAGTCTGGGCTGAAGCCCTAGGATGGCCCAACCCCGGGGACCACAAGGGCACACTTTGGGAGTCCCCAAAGCCCCCCCCCCCGTCAGTATTGCTCACCCCTCCTTGTGTGTGTGTGTGTGCGTGTGTGCCTGCACTTGTATATCTGTCTCTGAGAGTATTTATCTGGAGGGCTGTAAATGTCTGTGCATGCATGCTTTTGCATTGGGGAGTGGGGTAGAATGTCTGTGGGGACATTTATCCGGAGAATTGTAGATGTCTCTGTCTGTCTTTATTTATCCGGCCGAGGCTGCCTAACATGAGTGTGAAAGCTTTAACCTCCCCAGTGTTAGGAGGAAGTTCAACGTTCCTTTGCCTCTAAAGTGGTTGGTTTTTGTTTTTATTTTATTTTTTTATTTTATTTTTTAATAAAATTTACCCATCCAGCTTGGAGTCTTAGGTCCCTGGTTCCTAATGGAGCCTCTTCCGCCATGTGCCAGGGTCCCTTGGGTCATTCTGAGAGCCCAAGACAGGCCCAGTGACTTTCTCCTATTTTGCTCATAGCTGAACCAGGCACCTTTAACTAGAGAGAGGGAGGGGAGAACCGAGCGTACCTGATGGGAGACTCATGCCACATCTATCAGCCCATCCAGCCCCACTGGCCCAGGGCTAAGGGATAGAGCCTCTGTAGCAGTAAAGGTCAGCTAGTCCAACCCCCTTCATCCTACAAGTGTGGAAAATGAGGCTCAGACAGATGATTGTGCCTGCTGTCTGCTCCAGGGGAATGGGAACAGCTCAGGGGCAGAGACTGTTTCATTTCTTTGTATATGCAAAGGTCTTCCAAAGGTCTTAACGCAGTTTTTGGGTTTCTATCTTTGTATCTTTTGTACTTGTCTGACACACAGTAGGCACTTAATAAATGCTACTTGACTATTCTCACCACCTGGCAAGTAGGTACTTAATAAATGCTTGGGCAGCCAAGTGGTGCCATAGTGCATAGAGCCCTGGGCCTGGAATCAGGAAGACTCAGCTTTGTGAGTTCAAATCTGTCCTCAGACACTTACTAGCTGTGTGACCCTGGGCAAGTCACTTCACCTTGTTTGCCTCAGTTTCCTCATCTGTCAAATGAGCTGGAGAAGGAAATGGCAAATCGCTCCAGTATCTCTGCCAAGAAAACCCCAAATGGGTCACAAAGAGTCAGACACAATTGAAAATGACTGGACACACACACAATAAAAGCTAGTTGATTATTCCCACTGCCTGGCAAATAGTAGGTACTTAATAAATGCTTATTGGTTGGTTCATTGCCCATTAGGTCAATAGTAACAGGGATGGGATTCAATCCCATGTCCCCTCTTTCTGGAGGGGGTTGAATAAGAAGAGTTCCTTGAAGCCTTCGAGGTCATCTACTCCAACCATTTAGAAGATAAGGAAACTGAGTACCCTGAGGATTAAGTGTGTTCTTTGTCCAACATCGGGCGTGGCTAGGAAGGGGCTTCACATTCTGGTCCTGTGTTTCCCAACTCAATACTCCACCTAACGTTCCATGCTGCCCCTTCCCCAGTGACAGGAAAGCCGGCGCATTCACGGCCAGCCGATGCAATAGCGACCAGCATTAGATGGGTGGTCAGACCGCTCCCTCTGCCAGGAACGACCTCACCTGGACTACGGGGCCTCATTCTGGCCACCACATTCAAGGCCATTGACAGATTGGAGTGTCCAGAGGAGCGTAATCAGGCTGGGGAATGGCCTAGAAACTATGTCATGCGAGGAGTGGATGAAAGAGCTAGGAATATCTACTTGGAGAAGACTCAGGAAGGACATGTTAGCTGTCTTCAAACATGCAGCTAGGTGGCACCATAGCACACAAAGCGCCAGGCCCTGAGTCAGGAAGACTCATCTTCTGAGTTCAAATCCAGCCTCAGACATTTACTAGCTGTGTGACCCTGGGCAAGTCACTTAACACTTGCTTCAGTTTCCTCATCTGTAAAATGAGCTGGAGAAGGACATGTCAAACCCCTCCAGTATCCCTGCCAAGGAAACCCAAAAAGGAGTCAGACACGATTGAATTAACTGAACAACAGCATCTTATTATGGAAGAGGGATTAGCTTTGTTGCGCTTGGCCCCAGAGGGCAGAACCAGGAATAGCTGTGGAAATCCTGTAGGATGGAGGGAGGGAATTGTGTTGGACATGGTGTGCAAGTATTCATCTGGTGGGTTGTGACTCTATGAGTGCAAGTGTATTTCTCCAGGGAGGAAGGTTCTCTGTGCGTCCATTTCTCTGGAGGGCTGTGGGTTTTTCTGTGTCTGTCTGGCTGGGTGGCTCACTAGCCTTCAGGGGGGCATCAGGAAAGACTTTCTAAAGATGAAAGCCGTGTCAAAGTGGGGTAGACTGCCTGGGTGAGGGGTGGGATCTCCCCCCTGGAGGTCTCTGAAGCAGCAGGCTTTGTCAGGGAATTCCTAGGCATTGAGACCCCCGAGTTCCTTTCCAATCCTGACATACCGTGATTATGGATTGGAATTGAGCTTGGAACCGGAGTAGGAACTCAAGGGGTATGAGGCGCCCCCAGTCCTTTCCCCTCCTCCCTAAGGATCACTGGGCACTCTGGCTCCCAAACTTCTGCCTCCTGGGATGGGGGTGTAGAGCAAACTCAGAGAATGAGCTCACCCACCACGGAGGGCACTCAGGAAGGGCAGTGGGTGGTGACAACCTGCAGTTAATGGCACCAGCCGGCTGGACCCAGGAGCCTCGTAATAGCTTGGTCTTTTCCCCAGCCCCTCTCATCCTCATCTTCACCCACATTTTTCTCTTCTAGGGGTGGCGTCTGGGTAGGAGGGGGACCCCTGTTATGCTGGCCTTCTCCTGAGCAGAGTGGGAGGCAAAGCAGCCAGGACTCTGGGGCAAGGCCAGTTGGCCCTCCTCCCCACTCCAGGCCATGAACTTCCTGTCACCCCCCACCCACTCTCTAGGCTGGAGCGAGGCAGCACATATTCCAAAGGGAGTGAGTTCTCCTTTCCTCCCTAATCACAGGCCTTCCCAGGACTGGTTATTAGTGGTGAGCAGGAGGAGGGTCATGGGGCAGTCCATAAAGGTAGGGCCCCCCCAGCCTCGGCTCAAGAGCTCAAAGACTTCTCTATCAAGCTAGGGACACCTTCTCCCCAACCACCCCCCCAGAGCACCCAGTCTCAGAGCGCCTGAGAGGCCCCACCTAACCATGGCTCCCACTTTGCTTCGCCTGCTAGCCCTGGCCTTGGGTAAGTATCGTCTAGTTACCATGCAAAGAGGTAGGCTGGGGATAATTTGGGTTCTCCATCAGACAAAGCACCCCCACCCCCAGGAATCAGTTCTATGGAAGCTGAGATTAATTTCAGGGGGAATGATCCAGGAACCAGTTCTAAGGTCCAAAGCCATTTGGAGGATTAGTTAGTCAACTGGTTACCTTTCTGGGCAGAACCAGTGCAAGGAATATTTGTACCTAAACCTGGAGAATAGAGAGACAGCTGCTCTCCAGGGTGTGGCCACAAGAGGGAGGCAGTGTGCCCTAGGACACCAAGTGGTTGTTTCCACATTGCTGATGCCTTCTGGAGGAGGGTTGGAGAGATGGAAGGAGCAGGTGGTGTGGGTAGCCTCTAAATTTTGGTGCCCTGGGAAATGGCCCTGCCCTCCCCACTTTAATTACAGCTCCTTCTCTGGATCCCGCTTTGAACAGTCCAATAATAAAAATGAGTTTATCTCCCTTGACCACAGTCCCACTGATGAAGGGGTGGCCTAGGGAGGTTGTAATATGTGTCGTGATGACTCATGTTTGGATAACCGAGAGTGGATGGTAACCCCTGAGTGGGACCCCTGAGCTCTTCCCTGGAGTCGAAAATGCTTCCCACTTTCCCCACCTAGGGAAGAAGCCAGGTGTGGGGGGACAGGAAGTCTTCCCCATTGTACAAGTGGGATGGTTGAGTCTCAAAGAGTGGCGGGAACTGGCCCAAGGGGCACACAGCCGTGAGAAGACCCAAGTCTCTGTTTCCCTCAGAGATGAGAGTTGAGGCCTGAACTCCCAGCCTAGGGGTTTTCCTCTCAGGGCCATAAGTCAGAGGCCCCCCTACTCAGGCTCTGTCCCCATCCCCCTTCCCTGTCCTAGCACTGTCCCAGGGGAGCTGCACGGAAGCCCAGCTGGATGAGCTGATCAGACTGCACACTTTCACACACAGGCTGGCCAACTTTAGCAGCTACGGCTGTCACTGTGGCCCTGGCACCCAAGGTGCCCCCATGGACAAGATTGACAAGTAAGGAGTTAGCAGGGGCAGGGGTGGATCTGGGGCTGCCAAAAACCAGGGAAAGACTCCAAGGTCTGGAAACTGGGGACTTGGCCGGCAGGCAGGAGCCTGGACCCGGGCTGCAGCTGGCAAGATCAAGGGTCAGCAGCAGGGCAGAGTACCCCTTCCTGTCACAGCCCCCTGGGCTGGTAAAACAGGAAGAGGCTGAGAGAGAAATGAAAGGTCTAGACTTCCCAAGAAATCTTTTTTTTTTTTTTTTTTTTTTTGCGAGGCAATCGGGGTTAAGTGACTTGTCCAGGGTCACACAGCTAGTAAATGTCAAGTGTCTGGTCTGAGACTGGATTTGAACTCGGCTCCTCCTGACTTCAGGGCCAGTGCTCTATCCACTGTGCCACCTAGCTGCCCCCCCCAAGAAATCTTAAAAATCTTCTTTTTATCTTTTATTCCCCCTCTTATCTCTCCCTACTAATTCCTTTCCCATTCCTGCTCAGCTAGAACCTCTGACTCCTCCAGAGGGCCAGAAAGCCAGAAAGAGGGGGGAGGGGAGGGAAGGGGTCAGGATAACCAGTCCCTAGAACTAAGAGACCAAATAGGGTGGGAGAGGTGGGATGGGAAGGAATGGGATGGGTTTAGGATGGCCAAGAGACAAGGAAAAAGTGAGAGAGGGCTGGAGCCTAGGAAAGGGTGGGAGATTTGGCCCAGTTTTCCCAACATCCTGGGGTTACCTACTGGGGAATAGAGTTCTAAGCCACTCAGACACCCCAATACACCCATACGGGTCTATCACTCCTTCCAGAGCTATAACTAGGGGGAGGTAATCGGTGCTGTTTCAGAGTACTGGAATTTGAAGGTGAGGACTGCACTGTCACCAGCATGAGCTTAGTACTGAATGAGCAAGAACGGTACAGATAAGAAACTATCAGAAGCCGAGAGCTGCTTCTTTCCATGTCCTTCCCTTCTGCTGTGGCACGTCCTGGCCGTGCCCTGGGCTGCCTGTCTCCCTGAACACAAACAACTGAATTAGTCTTCGAATGTTGATTTCAAGGCTGTCTTCTTGTGTGTGCTTTGTGAAACCTGGGCCAGAAGTGGGAAATGCCAGGATGCTGTGTCCTACCTGCCCGTGGGGCCAGGAGCAGAATGAGTCAATGAGTCATCTAGCTTTGGGGACCTTGAGGGAGAAGCAAGACCCTGAGGGATGAGGGACTCCTTCCTAGAACTCCAGAGTCTCCGAATTGGAAGAGCGTGCAGCAGTCAGCTTGCCCAGCCCTGAGGAATAGAAATCCCCTATTCTGTCTCTAACAAGTGGTTAATCAGCATCTGCTGAAGACCTCCAGAGAGGGGGATCCCCCACCTCCTGAGGAGGCTCTTCCACTGTGGGGCAGCTCTAACACTGAGGAGGAGGTTTTCACAGACACTGAGCCTCAGTTAGCCTTTTTGTACCCTCCACCCACCATTCCTGGTTCTGCCTTCAGGGGGCAGATCTAGTTTGATCCCTCTTCCATTTGACTGCCCCTCCCCAACACTTGGAGACAGTTACCATCAGATCCCTTGAGTCTTCTCCAGGCTAAACATCCCCAGTTCTTTTAAGTGCCTTTCATATGTCATGGAATCAAGACCCCTCAGCTTTCTGGTCTTCTAGTTTCTCAATGGGTTTCCCACGATTTGGACCCCGGGACTGAACATAACACTCCCGGGCACGTTGGTTCTCAATGCAGTGTAAGGTTTCATTCGTTTATTTTGGCTCCCATAATCCCACTGTGGACTCATATTGAATGTGCAATCCGCTAAGACTCCAAGATCATTTTCTCTTCCCCCACGGCAGGTGTTGTCACAGTCATGACTGCTGTTACAATAAAGCAGAGGTGTTTGGCTGCACCCCTGGCACTCACACCTACAGATACCTTAACCTGGGAACCAAGGTGAAGTGTGGTGAGTTCTAGAGCTTAACCCCAGGTTGGGGGTTAGGAAGAGGAAGAGGCAGAGATGCAATCTAGGAACCGAGGGGGGAGGGCGGCTCAGAGTGAGATTGTCAGTGGCCCACTTTCTCAGGTCTATGCTATACCAGGCTCCTTCCTTCTGTCCAGTGACCTTCTCCATAAAGAGGACTGGGGGTGAGGGATGGAGAATGTATGTTGGGGGTAGCCATGTAGCCATTAACAAAGGGCAGAAGAAAGGGCCCTGGGTGATCCCTCGATCTCATCCCCCCTCTCTCCCCCAACTCCAAACTCCACAGTGAAGACTCGGGACCGCTGCGAGAAAATGACGTGTGAGTGCGACAACAAGATGGCCAAATGTTTCCGAAAATACCTGCCCATGTACAACCCTCGGCTCCAGAGCTTCCCAGAAGCCCCCTGCTATGGCCCCCGTCCCTTTTGCTGAGCCCAGCGCTATCCTCCCTGATCCCCAATACCCCCTGCTAAGGACGTGCCAAGAGAAAGCTCTAGTGCAGAAAACTCCCCCATGAGTGCTGGCGCACCGAGCCCCCTTTGCAGCGGATTTCCCATCTCTCCGCCTTGAGCGGGCATTAAAACATGTTGGCATTTTCCCTGTGTTCACAGCAATTTAGGGCAGGGAGGGAATGGGTATGGGAAGATGGACTGCAGCCCAGGGACCAGGTACGGGGTGGGGGGTGCTAATGGGGTGGGAGAACCCAGGCTCCTTCGGGCTGAGCGGGAATCCTGAGTTGGGGGAAGGGCCACACAATGGTTGGTGCTGGAGCCCCCAGGAGGAGCCCTAGCCTGTGGCTAGTCTTCTAGCCTCCCGGTCAGGGTTGAGCCCCAGACACATGATCACAAGGTCCTGCTTCTCTGTCCTTGGCTTTATTAGGGATGAGGCACTGACCTCTCCTCCCCAAGCCTTGTCCATTAGGGTAAGGGCACAAATTGGGTGGTTGGGCAGCAGGGTGTTGATCCTGGTTATATGGGAGTGGACCAGCCACTCAGGCTCAAAAAGGGATTGGATAACATGATAGGTCCCTGGTTCCCCTGAACTACTCACTAGGACAAAGATACTTGAACAATGGGTATAGGACATGAGACTGAGCTCTGCTGAAATGCTCCTGAGCAGGGGCTATGAGGGCAGCAATCTCCTAACACATGGGTGAGAGAGTTTTAGCCCCCTGGCAGAAGACTAGGGGAACCTAGGCCTTAGAGTCTGCGAGGCTCGGAAGAGACATGGGTCCAGAGGAGAGAAAGCCCCACTTCTGATGTTCACTAACTAGGGTGGAGGGATCTTGTCCAGCCCTAAGAAAAACAAGATCAAGCCCATCTGCTCCCCCTTAGGGTCCCACTCCCCTCCCTATGGGACCCATTAGCAAGCAGAGGGGCAAACATCTCAGACTCAGTCCAGCTGAGCCCCAAATTCTCTCCCCTCTTCCTCTGTCTCCAGGCTAGCAGACAAATCCTGGAGACAGGCACGTTATAGACAGACTATCTCCCCTTTTCCTCCCCTAAAAGGATGAGCACTCCTGCCCCCTGTATTTCTAAAACCAGGCAGGGACAGTTCAAGCTCAGGCTGAAGGCCCAGCTCAGCCCCTGAAGAGAAGGGAGAGGCTATTGGGCTGAGGGGCTGACATGGAGGCTCTGCCGGTTGAGTTTCTCTGGGTGGTGGGACGCCATGTGGGAGAATTCCCAGAAGATGTCCAGATAGGTGGTATCACCTGCAAGGAGATGGTGTGGGAGGGGAGAAAAGAGAACAGATTCAGACCTGGCCCCCACTCACCTCCCGCCATGTTATTCAGGGATCCAGGGTGGAGGAAAACTGTAAAAGTCCAGGATGCCCAGACCCTCTCTCCCTACCCCACATCGTGAGTGCCAACTCTAGAGAACCCTCGTCCTCCTCCCCACCCCCACCCAGGAGTCATAATCAAAGCCTGTGACCCAGATACAACCCCCATCCCCCTGGGCCCCAAGTGCTCACCTCACTGGCTTTACCCTGGCCCTCCTGAGATGAGAACTACTCTGCCCATCTCACAGAGAGACTTGGGTTCAGATCCCCACAGCAGAGTGAGGCTCCCAGTCAGCCTATGGCTCTTCTGGGACCTTCACAGCCTGACCCACCTGGCCCCCATTGCTGGGAGCCCATACGGTCATTAGAGGAGAGGGCAACTCCGGGACGGGATGGCAGTGAAGGAAGAGAGAACCCAGCAGAAAAGTGAGTTAGTAAGTTTGCTGTTGGGACAGGTTTGAGTTCTGTCTGCAGCAACCTCAGGTAGAGTTGAGATCAGGTAGAGTCCAGGACCTGGTGGTGCTTCAGGGCTGCTCCCAAAGCCCCAGGACCCTTGGAGGGGAGGGAGGAAGGGGCAAAGAGCCACACTGAGCTATCCACTGCCCCTCCCTGGCCAGAGCAGAGTAGCAAGAGCAGTGACCAAGCAGCACAGGTGGGAGGCAAGGTATCCCATCCAAAGATGTGCCCAGTGAACAGAGCCCCCAAGGCTGAGATCCCAGTGAATAAGTGAGCCCAAGCAGGAGCAGGTGGGAGTGGAGTGAGATTTTTATTAAGAGGGTTTGATTCAGGAGACCATGGAAGGAGGAAAGAAAGGCAGAGTTCCAGATAACTGGTTCCAAAGGTTCAAACAAAGCTCAGAGCCATCCAGAGGCCCCATTCCATCCTCAGGGAGGGAGGGTGCACAGAAAGCAAGCAGAAGGAAATAGTTAATTCAGTTTAGCACTTATTTACAGTGAGAGGGGGGACAGGGGCTGGCCCAGCCCCTGTGCTGCCTACAGAGCCTCCCTCTCCCTGGGTGGCAGTTTGCATAGAGACAACCCCCTCCCCAACCCCTCCCCAGCCTGGCCAGCTCAGCAGTGGGGGAGGAGCTGAGTGACCAGAAGCTTAAAGCTCCCTAACTATGAACTCCCTGGCCCAAGGGGGCCCTTCCAGCTGCCCCCACTCCCTACCCCAACCTAACTCACTTGTATCTGTATCCTGTGCCCCTTTCTATCTCTAGGCAGGCAGAGGGTTCTGTGAGCATGCCCCCCCCCAAGCCCTCAACAGTGTTACGGTCTCTAACCTTCCCCAAATCCCAGGCCTCTCAAATTCCATCCCTTCCCCAGCCCACATTCCCTTTCATCCATCTCCCTCCAACCCGGACCCAGACAGTGTGAGAAAGTGAGGCCCATTGGCACATTTCATGCTCCATTGATACCCCAACCCAGAACAGGAGAAGGAAGAAGCAGTCCAGTGACCAAGGACTATTCCCCAACCCCTCAGGTCTCCTAACTAAAGGGAAGGACTAAGAAAGGGATAGGACTGGAGCCAGAGCCCTGGGGGAAGAGGGAAGAGAAGGTAGAAGCTTCCAGTCACAAACAAAGGAAAATCCAGAGTTAAAGGTTGGTGGGTCAGGGCACATCCTATCCCCACTCAAAAAAACCCCAAAAACTCAGCAAAGGAAAATCTGGGAGGGAGCATTCAGAAAGGACTGTCTACATAGCTATAGGTTAGTAATAAAAAGGTTGGACAGCCCCGTCCTGGCACAAGCAATCCTGTAAGTTCCTCCAGCCCCTTTCCATCTTAGAACTGACCCCCCCCAACACACACACACACACTTCCCCATGCCAGGTCCCCAGGGAAAATGACCATTCCATTCATCCATCATCTAGGCCATGCCCCATAGGCTCTATCTGAGGAATAAGGAGTCATGGCAGGGAGATGGACACTTGGATCTCCAGTCAAAAACCAAGATGGCACTAGCAGGGTGGAGGTGGGGTTATGGTAGCAGAGAGGGGAGGCCAGTTTCAAAAAAAAAAAAAAAAAGTCTGGCAGCAGCACCTGGGGCAGCAACCTCCCAGATGCTTCCCCTTGCGTTGTTGGGGAGGGGCACTGAACTGGTCCTCTGAGCACCCACACTCAAGCGGCCACTGAACCCCATTGCCGAGCACCCAGCAGAGCAAATCCAGGGCCCAAACCAGAAACATAAACATGGTGGGAAGTAAGAAAAAGTGCACAAAGTTGCTTTATACAATGACTCTCAGTAAGGTACCGATACAGTATTTCTCCTTCAAAGGTCTGGGGGCCAGCAGTGTCCAGTCTCTGTTCCCCTGACAGGCCCTGCGTCAGGGACAGCACCACTGCCCACCAGTAGAGAGAAGGGGATCCTGGGGGACAGGTCAGACGTGGCCAGCCACGCCATCCAGCCAGAATGCCAGCATTCGGGGGCCAAAGGGGTGGCATCCTGAGCCTAGCCCAGGACTGATGAAGGGAGGCTTAGGGGGTGGGACTGCTGAGGGAGCCCAGGCTCCAGGAGGGTTGAGGAGGGGGTGGCCCCTGCTTGGAGGGGCCCTGAAGCCACAAGGTTCTGAGTCAGGCTCCTGCCAGACCAGTGTCCTTGAATATCAGCCTTGGTGGAATGGGGGGGGAGCGGTGGTGGAGGGGAGAGAAAAGGATCTGTTGGCCTTGGAGCCCAAGAATGCTTTACTGAGGTACATGGGTCTGGATCCTCTAGAGAGACCCTCTTCCTCCCCCTCCTCCTCCCAGCTAGGACAGAGTTCAGTGGGTCTTAGACTGGGAAGAGTAGCTGTGGATATCTGGGGATGTTGAAAGAGGGGGAGGTCCTGGGATATGAGCAGAGAGTGTGGGCCAGGGCGATCCACATGGTAGCCCTGGGGTGGAGAAAGCTCTCTCCAGCCCTGATGATATGGAGCAGGGGGGCGGAGAGGGGCTATGGAGAGAGGACAGGACCGGGCTGAAAGGGAAGGCTGGGCAGTGGAACAGGGACTTGAGGAAGAAGACAGATGCCTGGGATCTGACCTGGTCACGGAACATGCGAGGTGGGGGTGGGGGACCAGGGACTCCGAGGAGATGGGGTCTGGGTAGCTCCATCAGGCTAGACCCAGGAAGGGGAATCATGCCAGGCTCCAGATGCCTCCCAGTTGGAGAGCGACCTCCTCCCCACTCTGCCTGCCATGGCAGGTGGATGGGGAGGTGATTCTCCCAATCTGCCGGACCCCAAGGCCTCCCCAGACCCTGGCTGATCTGTCAGAAAACGGGGCAGGGACAGACACAGGCTCTGGGCTTGGCTTCTAGGGCCCCCCTCCCCACATACCCTCAGGGACAAAACAAGGAAAGAAGGGGGTGGGTGGGGACCAGGGTGCTAACACTCATCGATAGTAAGGCTAATGAACTCCTGGATGCATTTCCGGTACTGGAGTTCAGTGGGGCTGCTGCCCGGGTATTGACCTGGTTGTCCAAGGGGTCCCTCAGCTGCCCTCATCTCCTCATTCATCCGAGCCAGCCGAAGCCTGGAGGATGGGGGGAAGGGGATGGGGTAGAGAGAGAATGTGTTATTTACCAACCTATTAGGCATCCCACATATACATACGCTTCTACACACAAACACACACATATACACACAAACACACACATACAAATACATATACATACACACACACATATACACCAACAATACATATACACACATATACACACAAACACATACATATACACAAACAATACATATACACACATATACACACAAACACACACATACACACAAACAATACACATACACACATATACACACAAATACACACATATACACAAACAATACATATACACACATATACAAACACACATATACACAAACAATACATATACACACATATACAAACACACATATACACAAACAATACATATACATACGTATACACACAAACACACACATATACACACAAACACACACATACACACAAACAATACATATACATATACACACAAACACACACATATACACAAACAATACATATACATACGTGCACACACAAACACACACATACACATACAAACACACATATGCATGCACACATACATGTACATACGTGCATATTCACACACAGACATGCATGCATGCACACATACACACATTTACATATGCATACACACAAAGACATTATTGTTCAGTCGTTTCAGTCATGTCTGACTCTTCATGACCCCATATGGGGTTTTCTTGGCAAAGATACTGGAGCAATTTGCCCTTTCTTTCTCCAGTGAATTAAGGTAAGCAGGATTAAGTGACTTGCCCAAGGTCACACAGCTAATAAGTGTCTGAGGCCAGATTTGGACTCAGATCTTCCTGACTCTAGGCCCAGAGCTCTATCCACTGAGCCACCTAGCTGTCTCTCACACACACACACACACACACACACACACTGGGGCTTCATTTTCCCTTCTCTTCTGGATCCCTCCCCTAGCTCTGATTCAAAGATGGCCCCAGCATTGCCAGGACCCCCCTACTCACAGAGTAACAATATCAGCATTGGCAGCCTGGACGGCTATGGCCAGCGGGTCCTGCTGGTCTTCATCCAATGCGTGCTGGTCAGCCCCACGCTTTAGAAACAGACAGACCTGTCTACAAGGGGGAGGAAGGTGAGGGGGCGTGGGGACACACAGCTCCCTTCCCTCGGTGCCGCCCCTCCCCCAGAGTCATCCAGCCCTTCTGTGACCAGTGCTCACCCCGTATGACCCAGGTAGGTGGCGTGATGGAGGGGTGCCCGCCCCCGGCTGTCTCTTTGGTTCACGTCGGCCCCGTTTTGGAGAAGGAATTCACAGATGATCAAGGAACCCTGGAAGAGAAGGAGAGAGTCATGCAGGATCCAGGAGCCCCACCTATTGGTTCCCCATCACTGTCAGGCAGCTTTGTGGCTCAGTGGATAGAACACCAGGCTTGGAGTCAGCAAGACCTGAGTTCAAATCCAACCTCAGACACTTACTATCTGTGTGACCCTGGGCAAGTCACTTAACCTGTCTGTACCGACCTCACAGGGTTGTTGTGAGGATCAGATGAGATATTTGTAAAGCCCTCAGCACAGTGCCTGGGGCATAGCAGGTGTGTAATAAATATTTATTCCCTTTCCTACCCTTCTCCCGCCCCACTCCAGTCACCAGTGGGTAGATAACGTCATTTTCCAATATCTGACTTCTTTAGGCTAGACCTAGGGGACCCCTGGAGGGCAAAGATTTGGCAAGTTTTTAAGTGTATGTGGGCATCAGATAACAGCATTAAACTATAAAAGGCAGTGTATCATAATGGGTAGAGAGCCAACCTTGGAGTCAGAAAGACCCAAGTTCAGATCTCAACTCTGACATACAGTGGGATCCTGAGCAAGTGACTTAACCTCTCAGTGCCCCAACCCTAACTCTCTAAGACTAGAAACTGCAGAAAAGATGGCAATCTGCATTGATTGAGGAGTGCTCTTTCCAGTCTTTGTCCTGATGGGGCAGCTAGGGGGCGCTGCAGCAGAATCAGGAACTCCTTCAGTCGTTTCAGTCCTGTCCGACTTTGTGACCCCGTTTGGGGCTTTCCTGGCAAAGATACTGGGATGGTTTGCCATTTCCTTCTCCAGCTCATTTTACAGATGAGGAAACTGAGGCAAACAGGGTGAAGTGACTTGTTCAGGGTCACACAGCTAGTAAGTGTCTGAAGCCATATCTGAACTCAGGGAGATGAGTCTTCCTGACTCCAGGCCTAGTACTCTATCCACTGGACCACCTAGCTGCCCCAAGTCAGGGAGATCTGGATTCAAATCTAGCCTCAGATACTTACTGTGTGGCCCTGGGCAAGTCACTTAACCGCTATCTGCCTCCGTTTCCTCATCTGTAAAATGGGCATAATAACAGTATCTACTGGGGCAGCTAGGTGGCCCAGTGGATAAAGCTCCAGCCTTGGAGTCAGGAGGACCTGAGTTCGAATGTGACCTCAGACACTTGACACTTACTAGCTATGTGACCCTGGTCAACTCACTTAACCCTGATTGCCTCACCAAAAAGCAACAAATAAATAAATAAAATAAAATAAAAAATAATAGTATCTACCTCCCAGAGTTTCGGTGAGGATCAAACAAGATAATCGTAAAGCATTTAGTACAGTGCCTGGCCCTGACACATAGTAAATGCTATATAAATGTTAGCTATAATAACAATAATTATTATTATCATTATTATTATTGTTATTGTTATTATTCCTATGGAACTATATGTTCTGTATGTGTATACATATGTATATACATATATTTACATATATAATATAATTTAGCTTTGATCCTTAGGGCAATAATGTCTTTAGCCTGGCATTCAAGGCTCTCCACAATCTAGCCCAACCTAATACCTCAGTTTCCTCAACTGTAAAATGAGGGTAATAATCGTTGCAATGAGGATCAAACGAAATAATTGTAAAGTGTTTAGCACAGTGCCTGACACATAGTAGACACTATATAAATATTAGATATTAGTAGTAGTCACAGTAGTATTCCTATATAACTATATGCTACATATGTATAATATAGTTTAGCTTTGATCCTTAGGGTAATGATCTCTTTAGCCTGGCATTCAAGGCTCTCCACAATCTAGCCCAACCTAATATAACACACAGCAACCCCTTGTACGTGGCAGGAATGCTTTCAGTGTACATGGAATTGAAATGAAGATGCTAAGAGCCTAGCCCTGTGCCTCAGGCTGAGTGGAGATGGGGAAGGGGGAGGCAGAAGAAGAAGATCTGGTTGCTGTCTTCAAGGAGACCTCTGTCAGGTTGAGGAGACCTATGGGACTCACAGCCATGGCCCATGGGCAGAGCAGCTCAGAGAGCACCCGGGTGGTAGGGTGGAGCGTCCAGGGCTTGGTTCCACATCCCAGGCAGTCAGGTCTCTGAGAGCCCAGGAGAACCAGAGCTCCCTGTGCCCCCTGCGGTAGTCAGAGAAGGCCTCCCGAGGATGGGCCGTGAAGGATGGGTAGGGCTGGGCTAAGCACAAACTAGAGGGAGCAGCCCCAGCCCAGGTGGAGAAGGGAGGCTGAGAGGTCATTGAGAAGTCTAGAGAGGCCAGAGAGGAGAGGGGTGAGGTCGCTCTGTGGACAAATTCTATGTCATCCTCTCTCTGCACAGTGGGGTGGAGGGGGTGCGAAGGGTGCGCCTTCCTGAGTGGGACCAGGGCAGGGGGAAGGACAAATAATCAGAGCAATGGGGGGCAGAGGGTCACCTTACACAAGGGGGGTCAAAGAAGGAAGAGACAGAAATGGAGGAAGCCAATAAGGAGGCTGTTAAAGCGCTCTGGGTGAAAGGCAAGGAGGCTCTGAACTGGGGGCAGTAGAGGCAGGGGGGATGGAGGGGTGGGGCTGTAAAGATCTGCCCTCCAACAGAACACAAGCCTCACCTGCTCCCTGAGGGCAGGCAGTGTTTCATGTTTGCCCCCCTACCACCAGTGCCAGGCAAACAGCAGGCGTTTAATAAATGCGCGCTGATTGATCGGTAATATTAGGTGGCACTAATATTAGATAGCACTTTAAGGTTTCCAAGATACTTTCTATACATCAGCATTTCTCAAAGTGTGGTCCAGGGGAACCTTTCCAGGGGGTCCATGAGGTCAAAACTATTTTCATAATAACATGAAGACATTCTGATTTCTATACAGTAAATAGCAATAGGTAGAACTCACAGCAGCACAAGTTCATTGGGAGGCTCTACAATCATTTTTAAGAATATGAAAGGATAATGAGATCAGAAACTTTGAGAATCACTATACATTATACTATTCAATCCTCCAAATAACCCTGTGAGGTAAGTGTTCTAATGAACCCCACTTTACAGATGAGGAAACTGAGGCATGTTGAGGTTAAGTGACTTGTCTGCGGTCACACTGCTGGTGTATGTCAGAGGCTGGATTTGGACCCAGGTCCTCTTGACCCCAAGCCCAGCGCTCTATTCACTCCACCATCACGTATGGCGACAAATCCTTGCCGTGGTGAGTTCCCAGCTCAGGTACAGGTCCTGAGGGTGATTTCGGAGGTAGGAGCCACCCGGGGGTCCCCACCACTCACCCCCAGCACTGCCTGGATCAGCGGTGTCTTGCTCTCATCCTCCTCATTGACCCAATTCACCTCGGCGCCATGGGCCAGGGCCTCCGCCAGGACGGGCAGATTTCTGGCTCGAGCCGCCCGGTAGGCCAGCAGCCCTGGGTGCAGTTCTCGACTGTCCTCGGGGTCCCAGGTCTCACGGTCACCCTCAGCACTGGAGCCTTCAGACTCTTCACCTTCTGGAAGAAGGGGAAGAAAGTGGGGTGAGGGAAACATTTTTCCTCACGACCAGAGAGCTCCTTCACACAAGGGAAGGGAAAGGGACCCTAGTCCCAGCCTGGAAAAATGACAGGGGCAGCACAACCAGGCAAAGGGGTCCCCAGTGCCTACAACATTGCTAAACAGATAGAGAAGTACAACCAGGGTAGGGCAATCTGGACTTTGTCCCAAGTCACTCAAATTTAACAGGTACATTTCTAGGGTGTATGTGCTTCCCAAAGGACAAGACCCCCAGACTTCAGGTCTTCCTCCCACTTTCCCTTCAGTGACCAGCCCTTCAGCAATGTGGAAATCTTGTGATAGGCAGAAATGCCTTCATCTCTCCATATCCCAGTTGGTCTCCCTCCCACCCACTCTCCTTCCTCCTCCCTGTCTCCTATATGCTAGGCACCAGGGTGCAATGCCTAGTTCCAGCTTTAAGCACCTGTATCTGAGCACCTGACCACTGCCTAGGCAATGGGGCCTCTGAAACCACAGGCAGGTGACCTTGGGGCCCTCTAGGTTCCCTCCCCTTCATCCCTGGTTGAAGGCTTGAAGCCCCCTCCCTAACTAACCCATGGACCTGCCCTGAGCAACACACACCTTCTTCCATGACACTGTCTACCACAGAGCCAAAGACCAGGATGTCCGAGCTCCCGTCTGTGCTGCCACCGAGGCCGCTGTCGCTGCTCAGACCTGTGGGGCCAATGGGAGATGGACCCAGGGGCCCTGAATACCAAGGGGCAAGGACCTGGAATGAATGGCATGCTGGGAGGCAGGGGATGTTTGCTCTTTTGCCTACTGGGCCTGCCCAGCAGGATGAAACCAGGGACTGGGATGGTGTCCCCAAAACTGGAAGAATAGGGGTCCATGGAAGCTTTTTCAGCTCAGCCCAGGCTTAGGCAAAAGGAAAAAGAAGGAAAGAGATGGCCCACTTAGGGCCCCAAAGCCTGAATCCAAGAGCCCTGATCTCACCCACCCTCTCCTCCAGACAGAAAGGGCTAGTGGTCCGGAGACTGAAGGGGGTTGCAGCAGGATCCCTTCTCCAACTAGGAGGGGAAAGAACCTGGGGGGGAAGGGAAATTGTGTTCCTCAGAGAACCATGAGCCCCAACATCCCCCCTGCCCACCATCCACAGAGTAGAAAGGAGCAAAAATAAAATGAAATTCTGTTTACTTATAGTTAAGTTTACTGAGTTAGGCCTTTGGTAAACAGGAGCATGGGAGACTGGATAGGCGAGGGTAAAACGAGCAGATGTAAGGGGTGTACATGGAGATGAGGAGACATACACTCATTCAACTAAGGCAAGACCAGTCTTGTTCCAGGGGCACAGAGATCCACAGTGAGGGTCAGACAGACAGACAGACACACCTCCTGCTATGGGGAGCTGGGGGTGGGGTGAGGATGGCAGAAAAGGGCCCTGACTCTACACTACGTGCCTCTCTATCATCCACGATCCCCATCAAGGCCAGGACAGACCGAGGTCAGAGAGCCCTGCTGATGTCTGGGAAGGGAAGGGAAGGCTGATGGGAGGGAAGGGCTAGCTCTCCTCAGGGACCCTCTCTTGGTCACCTGAAACGTGGGGCTCTGAACTCAAGGTTTGCTAAGAACTCCCCTTCCCATCCACACCACTGGTCCTAAGTTGTTTAGTTGGCTGGTGCCTTGTGTGGGAGGAAAAGGCCCACAAGCTCAGTCTCCATCTGGGTTTGGGTCTTACATTATAAGAATCACTTCTGCTCTCTATTTACCTTATCCCAAACATAAAGCACTATTTAAAGAGCAGGCTGAGTTCTCCCCATTCCCATTGGGGTGCCATGGCCCCTTTAGGCTTTCTCGCCTTCCCCTGTCCCTGTTCCCCAAGTCCGACAGCCTTCCCAACAGCTCTAGGGAAAAAGGTCTGTACGAAGTGGGGACCTAGGGCAGGATGCAATGTAGCTCCCATTAGTAGCAACCCACCACACATTGGTTTAGAACCTTGGCTAGCTCCTGGCCTCCTCCCCTCTCTCCTTCACCTCCCATTATCACCAAACACCACCACCTCTGGTCTAGGCTCAGCAGTTCTTTTTGCTTGTAATGCCCTCCCCGGTTACCCTAACAGAACTCCTCCTTCCAGCTAAGGCTCTAGAGCCCTAAAAAACCTACTTCCAAGCCCCCAGATCACAGTACTCTCTTTCCTGGGATCAAAGGATGATAGATCTAGAGCTGGCCTCTCAGGGGTCATCTAGTCCCACTCTATCATTTTACAAATGAGGAAGCAGTTCCACTGAGGGGACATGAATTGTCCAAGGTCACAACGGTAAAGAGCAGAGCTGAGATTGAATCCGGCTCCCCCGACTTCAAATCCTGCTCTTTCCATAATGTACCAGCGGGGGCAGCTAGATGACGCAGAGGATAGAGCACCGGCCCTGGATTCAGGAAGACCCGAGTTCAAATTCGGCCGCAGACACTTGACACTTACTAGCTGTGTGACCCTGGGCAAGTCATTTCACCCCGTTGCCTCGCCAAAAAAAAAAAAAAAGTAAAAACCATAATCTACCAGTAGCTATAGTTAGACTCAGCCCTGCTCCAGGGGGTACATGAGGAGAATCTAGAAAGTCCTATGCACTCCCTCAAGTCCCTCCCAGTCTCTTCAATTCTCCTTGCCTCCCCAGGGTAGATTCCTTCCAAGCCTCCTGATTCCAACCCAGGGCTCCAAGCTGAGACAGAACAGTAGGCTAGCCACCATCTAGGTGAATCATCAGAGGGCAGAGACTTAGAAGCAAATTTGTAACCCAGGAGTAGATAAAAAGTATTCCTTTGTTATCCTAGTGGAATGTCTTTAGTGATTGGTCTCAGAGATAGGGAATGTGGAAAAACTCGCTCTAGGGTCAAGAAATAAGTCAAAGAGCACGAAGGGAAAAAGAGACAAAGGTCCACTTGGCCCCAGAGCCTGGCCTCTCCTCCCTCAACTCTCAAAACTGTACTGTTCCTAGCCCTGCCCTCCCTTTTCTGACTGTGTCTCTTCAACTTGGCATCAGCTGTCGCCACTGCAGTCAAGGCCACTTGGCTGTCAAGTGGACCGCTGATTTGTACCCCCAAATGAAGAAAAAGCAGGGAGAAAACCACTATACTTCCTGTTGGGGTCATCTTCCCAGGGCTCAATCCAGGCCCAGCCTGGAGCAGGGCAGATGGGAGGGAGGGAGGCCTGGTGGCCACAACTCTCTGCTGGCTACTCTACCACTGAGGACAGAGGAGGCTGATTCAAACTAGCTCCTGACCAAAGATGACGAGGGAATGCCAGTCAGTCATTAGGCTCCGAGCCTGAGAAGCTGTTGGTTTTGACTGAGAAACTATAGCTCATATGTCCCCCCAGTCACAAAACCTTCAGCCCAGAAGTTTGGCCTTGTCTTATCACCTTGTCTTGTCACCTCAGCACTCTGGTGGGTCTGTGTTCTCACCAATCTGAGTATTTCCCCCAAAGGTGCAGATCACAATCTATCCATCCATCCATCCCTGCCCATCCTGTAGTACTCTTGGGATAGCAAAGTGGACAAGTGGCTAGGGGCCTAGACTTAGGAAGGCCTGAGTTCAAATCTGGCCTCAGGCACTTACTTGCTGTGTGACCTTGGGAAAGTCTGCCTCAGTTTCCCCAACTGTAAAATGGGGATAATATAAAGGCACACCTCCCCCCTAGGGCTATTGTGAGGATCATCTGAGATAATAATTGTAAAGTGCTTTGGAAATCTTAAAGTGCTGTGTAAATGCTAGTTGTTGTTATTATTATTATTATTATTTCTTCACCAAAGGCTGGTTTACCCCATCTACTGAGGCCTTCCTGTATTTCTCTCGACATTTGAAGGATATTGATGAATCACAGAAACTGTCCTTTGATCTTCCCTTGCTTCTGCCTATTAGACTTACATTTTCAGATGGATTTGTGATCTCATTCATTCAGGAATTCCCCCCAGTGATGCACCTTCCACCCTGAATGACTTGTTCAGCTCTTCCCATAAGTTCACCAAGGAGGGGGGCATGGAGGACACCCAATGTGCTGACATCCTTCTTGGATTTCCCCTCCCATCAGAAGTGCACCAATGCCATGTGACTAGGATGTCAAATAAAGACACCCTTTATTCCTGTCCTCCTTCTCAACACAATAAGGAATAATCTTTCACTAAGAAGCATCAGGTCCTGGAGGACAGAGTCTGCCTTGGAGTCATGGAGACGTGGATCTGAGCCCAGCCACTGAGCCAGCCTGGCTGTGAGACCCTGGGCAGGTCATTTAACTTTTCAGTGCCCTGGGCAACTCTTGAAGACTGTAAGTTGTGGACAAGCTGCCAATCTGCATTAGTGAAGGGTGTTTTCACACATGGTGAATTCCCTGGCACCGATGATATCAGAAGATGAAGAGAAGAACAGTTGATTTCCCCTATACCTCCACTGATTGAGGGCCTCATCATGGCACGGACGTGACTCTGGGTTCCCAAGGCTCTGGCCACAGAGCGCAAGGTCTGGTAGTGATGCCCACCTGATGCGGTGCTGGCCCCGTTGAGGACTGACCCATGGCCTGCATCAGGTGGGCATCACTACGGCAACGACCGTAAGGCAAGCATTGTCCCCATGGACAAACTCATGGGGACATGGGATCCCAGATCTAGGACCAGAAGAAGCTTCTGAGGCCATGAAATCCAACCTGCCCATTCTACCCATCTGAAAACAAGCCCAGGGAGAGGGGGAGTGACCTGCCCGAAGTCAGACAGGTAATAAACACAAGAGGAAGGATTTGAATTTGGGCATTCTAACTCCAGAGTTGGTGCTCTTCCAATTGTACCAGGATTCACATCCAGTTCTGGCTCTAAGGTCCATTGTCCCTACATAGGAGACCTCAACTTTCCCCTCAGAGCTAGATAAATCTAACCACAAAATAGGCAGGACATAAGTTAAGGAGGTGAATAGAATTTCAGAAAAGTTAGATATGATAAACCTCTGGAGAAAACTGAATGGGGATAGAAAGGAATATACCTTTTTCTCAGGGATATATGGCACCTACACAAAAACTTACTATGTATTAGGGTGTAAAAACCTCACAATCAAATGCAGAAAGGCAGATATATGAAATGCATCCTTTTCAGATCATGATGCAAAAAAATTACATTTAATAAAGGGCCATGGAAAGATAGATTAAAAATTAACTGGAAACTAAATAATCTAATCCATCTTCCCTACATTGACCTAGCCATCACCCTCAACCCCATAAGTTGCCTCCTTGAAATACTGGAACCAGGAGTTCTAGCTTAGGTGCTCTTGGGGTGATATCTCTACAGATCTCTGGAGTCATCACAGCCCATCCCAGTTCCACAATCCCATTGAGCAAAGTGCTTCCTTGGAACAAGCAAAGTTCTAGCCTGAGATTGTTAGCCAGGGAAGGCAGGGTGGGGTAGGGACGTGGGATGGGGCATGGGAGACACTGGAGTGGAGGAAGTGACTGTCCCCCTCTCTCTCTCCCTCCCTCCTCTCCGTGCAGGCCATTGCTCCGAGATTACCTTACCTCCGGCCGGGAGGCACGCCTCGGTGCCCCCGGGGCCCAGGCCACTGTCCCACTGACCAGCTGCTGGGGGGGCCTGCGCAGACATGTGGCCAGCACCTATGAGGAAGGTGGATGGAACAGGACGGGGATTAATGGGGCAGAGCTCCTGGAAGCCAGAGGGGGATGGGCAGGAGCCCACAGTATCCCCCAATCCCCAGGGTGGAGTCGGGGTGCCAGGGATCTAAAGGAGGGGAAGTGGATCAGGACCTGTCCTGACCACAGACATGTCACCCCAGTCCTAGCTCTGGATCCCTCAAGTAGCTACATCAGAGGCCCCAATCTCAAGAGACAGCATAGAAGGTGGAAACAGAAGGAAGGGGAGGGAGGGGGATGAGCTGTGTTGCTCCCACCCAACCGCTCACCCTCTCACTTACTTCTTGGTCCTGCCCCAACTGCTCCTGTGTCAAAGTAGGAGAAGAGTGAGTCCAGCTCATCTGGACAGAAGAGAGAGTCACGTCGAAATTTCCGTTCCAAAGTGCTGGCTGAGGGGGCAAGGGAGGGGGAGGGGTGTGAGGGTGCTGCAGAGCATCCCCACCCCCCACAAGGCCTCATGCACCTGAAGCTATCAGGCCAATACCCTAGGTCTCCCCCACCTCACCCCCTCAAAGCCACGGCTGAAGGCAGAGGCTGAAAGAGAGACGGAGGCAGTGAGAAAGCCTCCGGTTCCATCAGTGAGTCACATGGGCACCAACATTATGGCTTCCTCCACACTCTTCTTGCATAAAATTTTAAAGAGGTGGAGAGAGAGTCTTAAAGTAATGCTCCCAAGCTCAGTCTTACAGTTGCCCCCCTCTCCCAGCCTAAGATCTAGGCTCTGATGGGGCCTCTGAGGGATGTCTGAAGAAGCTGTGGTAACAGATTAGGAGGGGATTTAGAGATGTCCTCCATCCCAACCCCTCACTTTACAGGGGCTGAAACGGATCCCCAGAGAGGAAGGTGATGGCCCCAGGGTCACACGACTAGCTAGAACCTGGCTCACCTAACTCCAGACAATCCAGCTCTTTCCACCACAGAATGCTGGCCTCAATCTCACCCGGCATGGAATGTCAGAAAACCCTGATAACACTTCCCTCTCCCAGGAGACCCTTCCCTTGAGGATATGACTCAACCTTGAACTTTCCTATATTCTCAGTCTGGGGAGGGGGGAGTTCTGGGTTTAAAGGGAAGAGATGAAGTAAGTTGTGTGGGGAGATGCCAAGGAGACAATAGATGGGGAGGTTCACTTGACAAAAGATGCAGAGGAGACTTGGGCCAGGCGACTTGCACAATTTATGAGCACAAAAGCCAAGGGAGGAGGGCAGGAAAGATTTGGGGTCTGAGGGTCCCCACCTGATGACAGCACTGCGGGGGAGATGGTGGCAGGCTCTTGCCGAAGCTGGCGTCGCATCCTGGGGACGCGGGGAGAACTCTGGTGCCGTCGACATTTCTTCATGCTCCATCGCCGGGGCTTGGCCTCTCCCCCACCAGCCGTCTCAATGGCTTCAGCCCCAGCCCCTGGAAGCTTCTTCAGGAACTTTCTCTCTACATATTTGACCTTGATCCAAGCTTCCTTGTCTTGCCTGGGGAGGAGAAGGGGAAGGTGAGGGTGAGAATGCACGCCCAAAGGCTGTAACAAACAGCTCTACCATGATCCCAACCTCTGGTCCCTGGAGTCCCCCTGCTCTGATGGCCTCATGACCCTCAAGTCCTGGGTTTCGTCAATAAATCCCTGACTTTTAACTTGTTTACATGTCATCTCCCCATAGGAGAATAGGGTAAATTCTGCGAGGATGGAGACAGTCTCTATTTTTCTCTTTCTATCCCAGGGTCTAACACAGTAAATAGTAAATGGTAAGTGCTTAATAAATTCGTATTCATTCTAAGCTGACCCTGGGCCCTCCACACTCCTCTATCCCTCTAATTTCTGACCCCACCTTCCCATCTCAACAAACCATGATCCTCTTGTTCCATCCCTTATCGGTCTCTAAATCCAATCTTCCGTCCCCCTCCCCTGACCTGCATCTCCTGCATCTCCTTAACCCATGACCTTACTTCTCTATCCCTCCCATCCCTGACCACATTTCCTCTGAGCCCCCATCTCTTCCATCTCCCACCTCCTGACCTCACCCCCACATCTTCCTAGACTCCTCCATTTTCCCACCCATGACCCCATCCTCCATCCTCTCAACTTCTGAACTCACTCTTTATCCCCCCAACCCATGACCTCATCCCTACATCTGCCTAAACTCTAAGATCATTCCTCCATCCTTCTGCCCATGACACTACTCCTCTATCTCCTCTTTCATGACCTTCTATCCTTTTGCTCATGTCCCCTTCCCTCTATCTTTGATGCCACTCCAAGCTCTCAACATCTGAGCCCACTCTTCCATCCCCCTGCCCATGGCCTCCATCCCTACACCCTCCCTCTACCTATGACCTTGTCCCTACATTTTTCTACCCATGAATCCATCCCTCTATCTCTTTACCCATGATATCATCCCTCCATCTTCCCAGTGTGAGTTCAATCATTCATCCCTTTGCTATGACCCCAACTCTATATCTCTGTAACCTCTGACCGTGCCCTTCCATTTCCCTCAACCCCTAACCCCAACCCCCAACCCCAGTTCATCCATCACCCTATCATTTGACCTACTGACCTGGGACTGGAGGCTGTTGGCTTCTGGAGCCCCAGTTCCTCACACTGAGCCTCATAGATCTGGTTCACAGTGCTATTCCCAAGCTCACACATCAGCTGGTAGGAGGTTAATAGGATTAAGCTTCATCAATAGTTCTGATACACAATCCCAACACACACACATATACACACATACACATGCACACATACACACACACATATACATGCATACACGTGCACACATACACACATATACACATACACACACATACACACACATATACACACATACACTCACACACACATACACAAACACACACACACATACACACGCATATACACACATATACACACATACACACATACACACACTCACACACACACACATACACACATATATATACACATACACACGCACACATGCACACCCACATGCACACATATACACACATACACACACATATACACACATGCACACATACACACATATATACACACACATGCACACACATATACACACATACACACTCACACACATACATACACACATATACACACATACACACACACTCACACACACACACACACACACACACACACTCACATATCCCGCTGTAGGGACGACACTCACCTTCAGCAGCTCTGGCTCCCATGAGTCCAGTGTCAGGGACCGGACCTTGGAGCAGTGGACCCCCAGACTCCTGGGTTACAGGGAAGGAAGGGGAAAAAGTGGAGTCAGGGAAGGGGTAAAGTTCAAACCCAGCCTCCCCAGCGCTGACCTAGGATAACCCTCAGCCACATATGGCTTAGCTAATGTGAGACTTTTACCCTAGGTTGCTCATCTCCGCGGTCACATCAGCCCAAGCTGGAAGTGATTAGCAAAGGAAATCTGTTCCCAGACTAAATTCTCATGATGCATTCCAAAGCCAGATGAAAATGATTTGGGGATTATCCCAAGCTTGCTCGCTATAGAGATTACTCAGACTGCTGCTCTCTCCACTCCGCAAAGGCAGATGAAGCTGCACGAATCCTCCTGAATGCTTAAAGGAACTCGAGGCTGCCAGGGACCCCAGCCCTGCCTGGACATGAATCCTCTCTACAGTGTCCCAGCAGTCATCCAGACTTCTGAGAGACCTTCAGGGAGGGGAAACTGCCTCCCTTCCAAAGGAGCTAGCTGCTGCCAAGGTTTTCCACATATTGAACTAAGATCTGTTCATCTGCAACTCCTCTTCCCCACCTCCACCACTGTGGAGGGGGCGGGGGGGTGTGTGACGGGGAGTATCCTAGCTCTTCCCTCATCCTCAACAGTCCTTCAAACACTTGAAGACAACATGCATGCCCCGCCCCCAAGTTGTTTCTTCTACAGGCCCAATCCTTGGGCCCCTGGTTGTGGATGCACTTTAGCTTATTAATGTCCTTTCAAAATTGGAACATCCAGCCAATCCACTGGGGCATGGCTGAACAAGTTGTGGTACATGATGGTGATGGAATATTACTGTGCTATAAGAAATGATGAGCAGCATCGTTTCAGAAAAAATTTGGAAAGACATGAACTGATGCAAAGTGAAGTGAGCAGAACCAGAACATTGTACACAGTAACAGCAATACTGAACAATGATCAACTGTTCTCAGCAAGACAATTCCAAAGGACTCATGATGGAAAATGCTGTCCGCCTCCAAAGAGACAACTGATGGAGACTGAGTGCAGATGGAAGTAGACTATTTTTCTACTTTCTGTATTTTTTGTGTGTGTTTTTTTCCTTTCAGGTCTGTGTCTTCTTTTGTTTTTGTTTTTGTTCTTTTTGTTTTTTTGGGTTTTTTTGGCAAGGCAATTGGGGTTAGGTGACTTGCCCAGAGTCACACAGCTACTAAGTGTCAAGTATTTGGTCTGAGACAAGATTTGAACTCAGGTCCTCCTGACTCCAGGGCCGATGCTCTATCCACTGTGCCACCTACCTGACCCTGTCTTCTTTCACAACATGACAAAGATGGTAATATGTTTTGCATGATTGAACACATATAACCTATATCAAATCGCTTACTGTCTCAGGGAGAGGGCATGTGACGGAGGGAGAGAGAAAATTTGGAACTCAACTTTTAAAAAAATGCATGTTAAAATTGTCTTCACACATAACTGGGGGGGAAAATGTAAAAATGTAAATATTATTAAAAATATAAAAATGAATGAATGAATGAATGAATAAGAAGTTGGGGCATCCAGAACTGAACAGGGTGATGATGATGATGATGACTACTTTGTGCCAGGCACTATGCTAAGCACTTAAAAATACCATCCCATTTGATCCTCATAACAATCCTATAAAGTAGGGACCATTACTATTCCCATTTTACAGTTGAGTAAACTGAGGCCAACAGAAGTTAAGTGACTTGCCCAAGGTTACATAGCTAGAAAGTATCTGAGGCTAGATTTGAACTCAGCTCTTCCAGACTCCTCTATGCCACCTAGCTGCCTATATGCTATCGGATGCTACAGATGTGTCCCGACCAGGGCAGAGGACAAAAGTAAGACCTCCCTCCCTCTGTATACTCTGACTTTCAATGCAGCCTGAGATCAAGGAGAGGTCAGTCCATGGGATACCTCAATCTGTCCCTATATCCTACCCTTAGGCTTAGAGTAAGCCTCGTATCATCCCCTGAGGCCCTTAACCAGGGATTTCCAGTCCCGCTTCTGGGGTTCTTGTGGCCCCAGGCCAGAATATGAATCAGTGTGATACAGTGGATAGAATGCTACACCTGGAGTCACCAGGAACTGGGTTCATATTATCCCTCAGCCACTTACCAGCAGTGTGACCCTGGACAAGTCACTTTACTACTTTGAGACCAGGTCTGTACATCCCCAAAGAAGGATAATAAATCCCACAGGATTTGCCCCACAGTGTTAATAGGAGGTGGGTCCAGTGAGATTATGGACCTAAAGCAATTTGCAAACTGCAAAGTGTTACATCAACATGCATTATTTGTCATTATTTTACCCACAGTCTTGACCTGAGTCTCCTCAGGCTCCTACCCCAGAGTCCCAGCCATGATGCACTCAGCTCACATCTCCAGTGCCAGGTTATTGAGTATTTAGTTCAGTGGGGATGGAGTGCTGGGAAGGTCTGCATTCAAATCCCAATGACCCTGGGCAAGTCCCTTCACCTGAGCCTCAGTTTCCCCATTCACAAAATGAAGATAATACCTGGGATGCTTCCTGGGTCCCTGAGGTCCTAGAGTCCCCATCCCTGGCCCTGATATTCTGGAGGCCTCTGCTTTGAGGTCCCAGCCTCGGCCCCGATGTCCCTCAGGCCCCAGCCCGGCCCTGAGTCCCCTGCTCCCTCCCTCCCCACATACACACCTGTGGATGCCCGAGCACTCGATGCACAGCAGGATACCTAGGTTGATGCTGGCCCAGCGGGGGTCAGGCTGCCCACAGTCACAACACTGACCGTTGCCCGCCACACTTTGCACCCGCTGGAGGATGCCCTCCCCCTTGCTGCTTCGATCCCTGGTGTCCGGGGCGGAGTCGATGCTGCTGGTGGATGGGGATGCTGTTCGGTCCAGTCTCTAGGAAGGGAGAAAGCTGGAGATGACACCTGGGCCTGGGTATCCTCAGCAGGAATCCCCACCCCCATACCCGAAGACAGTGACCATACTGGGATGTTGCACTACCAGATGTGGCCAGCAGATGGCAGGGCAACCCCACTGTGCTGGACCCTGGAGGGGCTGGCCGTCTCTAGACCCAGCCTCACCTCGATGTAGTAACTGTCGGGGCTTTCCCGGTAAGCCGAGGCAATGCTGGCCTGGACTGCCTGAACCCAGGCCTGGCGAAGCTTCTCTGAGTCAGCCTGTAGCATGCAGCTCCTGGGGAGGAGGGATCAATGTTGGGACAAGGGAGCCAAGTTCCCAACTCTCTCCCCAGAGCCCCTCCTTTCATACAAGGTTCCCCCAAAGTGACTCCAAAGACAGTCAGTTGGAGTAGAAAACCCCCCCCCCCACATCTGGAGAAGAAGGTTGCTATCACTACCCTCCCCACCACTGGAACCTCCTCCCTCCCCAGCCAGGATCCAGGCCCCTTACTTTGTAGGAGAGACCACCTCGAAGCAAAACCTCCTCTCTATGTCCTCACACGGCTTCACAGTGCAGAGCCGGAGATCATCAACCACCACAGTCAACCCATCCTAGAGGGATGGACCCATTGAAAGCCCAAACTCACAAAGCACCCTTTCCCAGGCCAACCCTTGGCTGGCCAGAGCGCTGGCCCACTGAATCCTAAGCCCAGCACTGACTACTCAGCCTGGATCCTGACCCACTAACCATGGCGCCAGATACTGACCCCCTGACCACTCAGCCCTGGAACTCTTACCCACTGATGAGAAATAATAAGAAAGTGTTATGTCACATACATATATGGCATATAATGCATTATAAATATTATGTGTTATGTGTATTACATACATGTACGTTATATGTGTAACCAGCAATTAAGGTTCACAAACTATTTCACATATGTTATCTCATGTGATTTACACCATAATCATAGCCCTGAGACCACTCAAGAGGAGAGAGAAAAGAATGGACCTCTTTCTGGGGGGAAGAAATAGTGGGGCCCTAAGCCCCTGGACACCGGACTTCAAGGGATCAAGAGGGAGGAGAAGAAACCCTCCCCCCATCCTCTCCTCCCCTCCTCCCCAGCCTCAGCTGTGCATTGTGGGATGGGAATAACCAGAAATGCTCCAGACCCATCATGCCAGCAGCCCTAGCCTCCAGTGGCTCAGTTCCTGCCCACTCACCTTAAGTTTCTTCTGGTAGACCAGTTGGCTATTCTGGATGGAGAACCATCTCCTACAAGAAGGAGTATTGACATATTGAAAGAGTCACGGCCCAGAATCACCATCCTCCCTAGAACCTGCCTGGCCCCTGCCGTCTCCTCCTTTGGAGACCTCACAACATTCCTAAAGCAAAGTCTCTCCTCCACTTTTAGTTAAACTAAAACTCCTGTTTGGTATTTAAAAGTCCTTCCCATTCTGGCTCCAAGCTTTTTTTTCCAGGCTCCTTACACATTACTCCCACTGCCCCAGGCTTTGCTCCAGCCAGACCAGCCTTCCTGTTCACCACATACAACATTCTAGCTCAAACTTCCCTGCCTTTGCACGAGCTATTCTCCCTGCTTGGAATGTCTTCCCTCCCCCCACCCTGAATTCTTAGAACCCTGGCTCCCTTCTAGACTCAGCTCAAGCTCCTTTAAGAATCTCTCCTGAGCCCCCTGCTAGTTAGCACCTTCCCCCATCTGAATATCTTTTTTGGTATCTATCCTGCATTTATCTTCCAACATGCTATATTCCCCAGTAGAATGTAAACTCCTTGAGGGCAGGGGCCATTTTGTTTTTGCATTTGTATGCACTTATTGAATGCCTGTGGGGTGACTCATTGATTTCCCCATACCCCCCCCTTCTCTTCCACCACTTTCACTCCAACTCTCACCGATTCCATGTCTTAAAGGCATTGCTGGCTCTCTTGAAGAGGTATCCCTCCATGACCACGCCATTGGGAGCATCTACGTCAAACTCCACCTTGGATTCATCATAGGAGAAGTCCTGGTGGAGTGAGAGGAAGGAGTGAGAGGTCAGAGAATGAGAGGAGAGGTACCTCATCCTTTTCCTCTTAGCCACCATGCTCTCCCCCACATGCATATTCAAATGACCAAAATACCATCACCTCCAAATCAATAGATTCAATCCTTCCCTTCCCAGAAGGGGAGAGAAGGGGCAACTGGGGGGTGTCCATGGTACTGAAACCAGGTTCCTGTTCCAATCTAAAGACCTCAGTCACCACCTCCTCCCATCTATCTCCTCCCCAGGGGCCTCAGCATAACAGGCAAACTCACCTGCAGCAAAGTCTGATGTTAACAGGTTCCCGGAGGGCAAGAAAGAAGAGAAAAGGAAAGTGAGTGAAGGGTCTCCTCAGAGATGATAGCTCCCAACTCTATCCAGCCTTACTCCCACGGAACATCTTCCTAATAATAGTGCCCTCAAATCCCCAAGCCGGCAACTACACATTAGGAGGCCAATCTTTCCCTATTCCTCCCTTAAAGCTTTGTAAAAAACTTGGAAGTGTCCTTAGATATTCAGTTCACAACCACCACCATTTGACACACAGAAAAACAAGTTAGGAGGTTAAGTGGCCTTCCTGAGGTCACACAGGAATCCAAGTCTTTTGCCTCTTAGTTCAACGTTCTTTCCTCCGCATTAAAGGATTTCATAGAGGAATGACCATAACTGCAATCCCTCACATTTGTACACACTGAGTACCAGACAGGGGAGCTGATTCACCCAGCATCACACAGTAAGCCATTGGCAGAGCTGCAGCCACACCACAGGTGTTCTGACTCCCTCCAGGTGAACACTCTTTCCACAATCCCCTCATCACCTCCCCAAAAAGCCACAGTGATGTTGAGCACTGAGGTCCCCCTGTGCTACACAACGATGAAACTCCCCCCAGAGAGGTCATTCTTTGGTCTTTGGTACTTCACCAAGAGGTGACTGAGCCCCGCCCTTCTCACCTAAAATACCCCACCCCTGGCCTGAGGGCATGTCGTATCAGTAGCGAGTGGCAGACCTGGGATTTGATTCAGGCCCTGAGATTCCAAATTCAGCGTTGTTTCCACTGTGCCATGGGTCAAGAAGTACTTGCTTATGTCTAATTTAAGGGCCTCCTACTTTGTCTGCCATTGATAGAGGTAGAGAAGAAGGAGTCACTTTCCTCTTTGGAGATTTCAGTAGGTGGAAGGTAGTGCCACCTATTGGTGGGGCAGCTATGTCAAAGACATGTCAAAGACTCCTGGGTGACCTTTATTGACCTTGGGATTTCTCAGTTACATCCAACTCTGTGTCCCCATTTGGGGTTTTCTTGGCAAAGATACTAGAGTGGCTTGCCATTTCCTTCTCCTACTCATTTTACAGATGAGGAAACTGAGGCAAACAGGGTTAAGTGACTTGCCCAGGATCGCACAGCTAGTAAGTGTCTGAGGCTAGATTTGCACTCAGGTCTGACTCCAGAGCCAGTGCTCTATCCACTGTGCCACTTAGCTGCCCCACCAATAGGTGGCACTACCTTCCACCTACTGAAATCTCCAAAGAGGAAGGTGACTCATTCTTCTCTGCCTCTATCAATGGCAGACAAAGTAGGAGGCATTTAAATTAGACATAAGCAAGTACTTCTTAACCCATGGCACAGTGGAAACAACGCTGAATTTGGAACCTCAGGGCCTGAATCAAATCCCAGGTCTGCCACTCACTACTTACACAACCTTGGCAAATCACTTGATCTCTCTGGGTCAAGGTTTCCTCATCTGAAAATGACAGAGTTGGACTAGAAACCCTCTGAGGTCCCTTCTAGTTCAATAAATACAGTCAGGGGTGTGCTGACCCCAGTAAGGCTGGCTCACAAGAGCTGATTGTTAAATTTTCAGTGTATGCATTTGCACCCTGGACATCAGCAAATGCTACAAATAAGGGCTTGATTTGTTGGCCTGTTGATTTTTCAGACTTAAGAAAGTGATGGGGGAAATGTTAGCAACACAGACTAAACTTAAAAGTGTGCTGTGTGCACATTTTTTTTTGGAAAGCCGGTTGTTAAACATTGACCAGTATATTCCTGTCAGTCTTATGACCTGGGAGGAACAGTTAGACCTGGGTGCAGAGTCTGGGAAGATGTCTGAAAAAGTAGATGGAATTGATCACAATCTATTGAATCGGGGGGAAGCCCTGATCAAGAGCAGGGTGATAGCCCCTCATGGCTAGCCTTGGCTGGCAGATGGTCTGATCTCTCAGAGGCTTCCCAGGAGAACCCATGGGAAGGTCACTACTTCCATCTTGAAAACCTCGAGTTCCTGCCCAGCTTCCCCTTTGAAAAGGGCTACTGGGGGTGCTGACAGTGGAGGGATTCAAAGAACCTGAGGGAGTCGTAAAAACGACAGACTTTTCCATCTCTAGACATCACTGGGTGCCAGAATAGGGACCTTGGAGAGGAAGAGATCATAGATCTAGAACCATAAAGGACCTTAGAAATCACTGAGTCCAATCCCCTCACATTGCAGACAAGGAGACTGAGGCCCCAGAAAGGTCAAGTGATTTTCCCAGAATTGCGTAACTTGTAAGTGTTGGAGGAGGGATTTGAACCCAGGTCTTCCTGGGTTCTAGTCCTAGTGCTCTACCCTGCCGTACCACACTGAGGGGCTAACAGGAGGATAGCTCACAGAGAACAGCTGGCCAGCTGCGTGTAAGGACAGGAGCCAATAGGACAGATAGGAGAATGGCCACTACCCCCCAAAGTGACATTTCTAGCAACTCTCTCTCAGCCCCTCCCCTGGCCCTGGGGGAACGGAAGGGGGAAGAAGAGGAAGTGGGGGACAATGTTACAAAGTGAGGAGCCCACAGAGCCTATCCCGGGCACAGACACAGAGAACTCAGTCTCTAAAGAATCTCAAATACCTAGGCCTGGCAAAGCTTAATTATCTACAGAAAAACAAAACCAAGAAACATCTCCCCAAATCCATCTGTGGCTTCAACTAAACCCAACAAATTAAGCATTTCCTACGTGCCAGGCACTATGTCCAGATGCTGAGGACACAGAGACAAAAATAAAACAGTTCCTGCCCTCAAAGAGCTTCCGTTCTGCTGGGGGAATGGGGATGGGGAGGGGAGGGCCACACATCATATACCCAAGTTCAATGACATTGAGGAGAGAGTGAGCACTAGCAACGTGGGAATGGGGCAGAGAAGACAGGATCTGAATTAAGTCTTAGAGAAAGAGAAAGCAAAGGCAAAGATAAGGATGAAACATTCCAAGTGTGGAGAATTTGGGCAATGCATTGCACAGGAGTTGTGTTGTATTTGGGGGTCTGGCTTGGCTGGAAATCAAGTTGTACAGAGGGAAGTAATGTGAAAGAAGATGAGAAAAGAAGGTAGGAGCTAGATTGTGAAGGTCTAAAATGCCAGGCAGAGATTGTGTATTTTATCTTAGAGGTGATAGGGAGCCATTGAAGGTCCTCGAGCACGGGAGTGACATGGTCAGAACATGAAGATTATTTTGGCATGTTGTGGCAGATGCATTGGAAAGACTGAAATTCAAGCATCCAATCAGGCAGCTGTTACAACAGACCAAGCAAGAACAGATGAGAACCTGAATTAGCGGGGTGGCTGTGTGACTGAAGAGAAGAGGACATGAGAGACTTGCAGAGGCAAAGCCAAGCAGGCTTTGCAGCTGATTGGATATGGGGAAAGCGGTGGGTAAAGGAGAATGAGGCATCAAAGGTAACTCCAAGGTTATGGATGTGAGTGACTGGAAAAATGGTGCTGGGGGTAATGGCAACAGGAAAGTCTGGAGGAGGAATACGTTTAAGGCAGAGGCTGAGTTCTGGTTTGGAGATGCTGATTTTGAGATGCCTAGAGGGGGACATCCTGGAGACAGCCTCCAGGCAAGTGATGAGTGACTGGAGCTTAGGAGAGGGATGAGGGCTGGGTGGGAGTCCTGCACAAAGGGATAATACTTGAACCTGTGGGAGGTGATGAGATAAGAGAGACAGAGACTGAGAGACTGAGACACACAGAGAGAAGAGACAGAGAAAAAAGACAGAAAGTGAGATAGAGAGGCAGAGACAAACAGATAAATGATAGAGAGAGACAAAGACATAGACATATCAGATACAGAGATGAAAGGGCAAGAGAAAGCAGGGAGAGAGAGATGTGAACAGAGGGAGATAAAAACAGAGAAAATGAAATGGAGAGACAGAGAGAAATGATACAGAGAGAAAAAGATATAGAGAGATAAGAGACAGAGATTGAGGGGTGAGAGAAAGGGTGGAGGTGATGGGACCAGAGGGAGATGAGAGACACAGAGAGAGAGAGAGAAAAGAGGGCCGAGTGCCCAGCATAGAACCCTGGGGGACCCCCACAGTTAGGTGGGAAATACAGTCTCCTTTGGTGGAGACAGAGAAGGAGCGGTCAGACAGGAAAGAGGACAACCAGGAGAGAAACCTAAAGGAGGGAGTGGTAGTTGCAGGGAGATAAAAGAGCATGAGTAACGAGGGATTTAGCTGCTGAGAGATGATGGGTAATCTTAGAGAAAGCCATGTCAGTTGAGCAGTAGCGCCTGGGTGCCAGATTGCAAGGGAGTGAGAAGGGAATGAGGGGGTTGGCAGTGGAGGCAGCAACAGGAGAAGATCTTTCTCTAAGTGTGGTGGGGAAAGTGAGGGAAAATATCTGGCCATTATTTGAGGAGACAGTAGGCTCAAAGAGGGACTGTTCTAAGCATGAGAGAGAAGCTGGTAGAGAAGGAGAGACTGAGGATATGGGAGAGGTGGAGACTGATTCCTGAAAGTGACAGGATGGAAGGAAGGCAGGAAGGAAGGAAAGATAGGAGGAAGGAAGAAAGAAAGGAAGGAAGGAGGGAGGGAAGGAGGGAAGGAAGGAAGGAGGGAGGGAGGGAAGGAAGGAAGGAAGGAGGGAGAAAGGGAGAGAGGAAGGAAGGAAGGAAGGAAAGAAGGAAGGAGGGAGGGAGGGAAGGAGGAAAAGAGGGAGGGAGGGAAGGAAGGAAGGAAGAAAAGATGGAAGGAAGGAAGGAAAGATGGAAGGAAGAAGGGAGAGAGGAAGGAAGGAAGGAAGGAAGGAAGGAAAGAAGGGAGGAAGGAGACAAGCATTTATTGAGTGTCTCCTATGTACCAAGCATTGTGCTAAGGTCTTTAGGAATATTATGTCATCTTATCCTCACAATCAGTCTTGGAGGTAGGTGCTATCATTATTTTACAATTGAGGAAACTGAGGCAGGTAGAAGTCAAGGGCCATAACTGGGAAGCATCTGAGGCAAGATTCCAATTCAGGTCTTTCCTGACTCCAGGTCCAGTGCTTAACCCACTGAACCCCCTAGCTGCCTAAGATCTAAGCTCCTTTACTCCTGTCTTGATGAGCAGAGATGGGAGAAAAGAACAGGATGGAGTTTTGAAAGAAGTTAGTGAGGTGGAGCTCACAGGAAATGGGCCTCTATTTTCTCAGCAAAGTAGGAGGCAAGGACATCTGCTGTGAGGGGAGGAGGAAAAAGACAAGGTTTGGAACAGCTGATGGGTAGAGTGGGACAGAAAGTCAACCAGGAATAAATAAAGAAGTTCCACCATGCAATAGCAAGGGCCCATCTGGGGTTCAATAAAAAATGTGTAAGGGTATCTATCAGCATGGTTGTGGGATTTCCTCCTTTTTAGAGGCAGCTAGGTGGCGCCACAGTGCACAGAGCACTGGACCTGGAATCGGGAAGATCTGAGTTCAAGTGACCTCAGACACTTACTAGCTGTGTGACCCTGGGCAAATCATTTAACCTCTGCCTCAGTTTCCTTGACTATAAAATGCAGAATAATAACAGCATCTACCTTGCAGAGTTGTTGTGAATTTCAAATGAAATATGTTCAAAGTGCTTAGCACAGTGGGAGGTATATAGTAGGTGCTATATAAATGTTTATTTCCTTTCCCATCGTCCATCTCAGGAGTGACAGCAGAAAAGGCCAATGGCAGAAGGAAACCATGCTGAGGATTGGCAGGGGGTTAAGCACCAGTAAGACAAGGGCCAAAAGAGTCTAGGGTACAGGTTGAACTGGTCAGCCACGGGGTCCATACTAATTAGAGAGGAAAGTAAAGCCCAGAGTAGGAGCGATAGAATAAGAGAACAGAGGGGGATAGAGGGAATGGAGACTCCGACGAGGACAAAGAACGAGTTTAGGAGATTTAGACAGAGGAAGAGATGGAAGGCCAGGAGAGTGTGGTCAGAGAAGAGGATCTTTGAGTTCAAAACCATGGAAGTGACACAGTTATGGGTGATGGTGAGATCTAGGCTATGACCATCCCTTTGGGTGGCGGATGTAGATTGAAGCGGCAGGTCATTGTGGTTGAGGAGGTCAAGAAACTGGGGGTCCAGGGTGTTAGAGGGGCCATACGCATGTAGATTTGGGGCTGGAAGGGACCTCAGTGGCTGTCTAGTTCAACCTACCCATTTACAGGGGAGGAAACTGAGGCATGGAGAGGTTACACAACTTATTCAAGGTCATGCAGGCTACCTGGTAAATATCAGAAGCAGGATGTGGGTCATGCTGGCCCCCAAGTATGAGGACAGGAGCTGAGCTGGAGAGAGGGAGTCTGTGAAGAAGGTAATGAATTCCTTACGAAAACAGGAATGGTCCCTCCTTAGAGACAATGGACTTCCCACTCCATGCCTTTGCATGGTTTCTCCTCCATAACTTTGTTCTGACTGTCTTTTAGAATTCCCCGATTTCCCTCAAGATGTAGCTGAAGCAAGACTTTCTACATAAGACCTATCTTGATCCCCTCTGCACTGCTAAGACGCTCCCTCCCTCCCCAAACTACTTTGTCTGCATTCTGTGTATATCCCGTATGTATTTATACATGGACATACTGTTTCCCCTTCAGAAGAACACGTGTTCCTTGAGGGCAGGAATGCCCAGCACAGTGCCTGGCACATAGAATTTGCTTAATAAACACTTGTTGATCGATTGATTCTTTGCAGAGGTAGGTGACTACGGACGTGTGATGTTGCTTATACAATCAGAGATAGCTGATGTATTCGCTGGTTTTGCTGACCTGCTTCTCCCTTCCCCAACCCTTTTCTTTTTCATTCTTTGTTACAAGAAAGAGCTGGTTGAGTAGGAAGCAGGAAAGGATGCATTTAGAAGGGAAGGTAATTTTAAAACAAAAGATTTCGATAGAAATGGAATTTTAAAAAAAATAATGGCAAAAAAAAGCCCCCAGAGAGGAGAGGGAAAGTGTTCTGGAGACCAACAGATCACAAGCATCAAAGAACTGGGCTAGGTGACAGATGGAAGGAGGAGAGGTTGCTGAGTGATGGGGTAGAGGGAGGGCCTGGGAGGAGATGCCAACTCCTCCTCCTCCTCCTCCTCCCGGCTCAATGTGTCAGGGCTGTAAGGGAAGGAAAAGCCAGCACTGCTGGACAGGCTGTCTTCTGGACAGCCAGGGTCCGGGGCATAAAAAGATAGAAAGGAGGAAGGGACATTTGTCAGTGATGGAGCAGGAATTCCAGAGGGCACGACAGAAAGGGAAGTCAGAAAATAAAAGGGCCTGGGAAGGGCTAGGTGAGGCGAATGAGGACAACGATACAGGGACAAGTAGCTACAGAAGGGGGCTTTAACCCCCAGGGGATGTCAGCTCTGAATCACTGAGATGAGGAGAGCAGGAAGATCGAACATCACCCGATTCAGGCTGAGGATTAAGCAACCTTTCCAAGCTCACATGTGAGCAAGCGCTCACATGGCGGTCAGAAAAAGCCATACAAGGACACTCTCAAGGTCTCTGAAGAACTTTGGAATTGATTGTGTGACGTGGGAGACACTGGCACAGGACAGCCCAGCATGGCGTGCCAAAGAAGGAGCTGCACTCTATGAGCAAAGCAAAATTGCACTAGCTTAAAAGAAACGTGAGATGCACAAATTTAGAGAATCCACTCCAATGTTCACATGGGCTACGTGTGTCCGACCTGTGGCAGAGCGTTCTGAGCTCATTTCGGTCTGATCAGCCACAGTTGGACTCACTGTAACTTGACTCTAGCAGTGATGTCATTTTGGTCCTCTGAAAATGAAGGACAACCAACCCCAGGTCACATGTCACAAAAGGGAGAATTTGGTCCAGGGACCTTCCATGGGCAGAGTCCAAAGATATTGCCAAATCAGGGTTTAGGCATCTGCGGAGAGAGACGGCTTCGACCTGAAGCTCAGAGAAAAGCTGGGGCTCACAGAAAAGAGGACCCCTGCTTCTCCATGATATCTGCCCTGCCCACTTTAACATGATTGTGGGCATTGTCCAATGAGATAATGCCTGGGACAGCCCTTTGACAGGAGGGTGGAGACATTGGCAACACCTGGCTGTCCTGGCCCTGCCTCCACAGTGACTGGTATATAATAAACATTATGGTAATGCCCCGCTTCTCCCCCTTACCCTCTGCTGTATCAGGGCATGTTTCCTCTCCATCTCCCGCTTCTCCACGGCGGAGTCGATAACTAGCTGGTCCAGCTATTGAAGCACAGAGAAGAAAGTTCTGTGTCACATCAGAGGGTGTCCTAAAAGTCTGCATTCATTCATTCATTCATTCATTCATCACTCAACAAAGTTCTGATAAAGTGTCTACTCCAAGCCTGACCACAATGTCCCAGAGAGACAGATGGGGAGGGAGATCCAGCCACGTCTGCCCCAACTCCCAGCCTCCCCTCCCCCCGTCTGGCTGTATCAAAGCCCCAGGCTCACCTCTGCGGCCAGCTTCTTCATGTAGGGGTCCAGCTGGTGTAAGAGGCTGTAACCCTGCTGGAAGAAGGCGTACTGCGCATGCATAAAAGACAGCATCTGTGGGATGAATGGTGGGGATGCTCAGCCCATACTCAGGGTGGGCACCTGAGTCTGGGGGCACCTCCTGCCCGCCCCCTGGGGTGCCACATGGGAGCACCTGTTTTGACAGGCCCCCATGCCTACATACCAGGCACACACAGTCCTGAGCATGTGCCTCAATTCCTCTGGGCCCACCTAGCACATGGGGCCAGCAGCAAGGGTCGCCACATGCCTAAGCACATATATCAGCATGTGGGGGCATAGTATGCACCCGACCAGGGTGGGCACAGGTCCAAGCTGGTACACACGTCTTACACACAGACATGACATGCAGCATCCCCACAACATACACATACACATACACAGAATGTGGCATTTTGAGAAGGGAGCAGGACAGGGTGAGGGAGGGAAGAGGGAAGATAAGCTCTCACCGCATCTAAGATCTCAAACTTCTTCTTGGCCTGAAGGACGTTGATCTGTAAAGACAGAGACAGACGGACAGAGAAGAAAGAAGAGAATATATCATCACAGAGGAAGGCCCCAGGGCTAAGGAGGCTGTGGAGGCCGCAGGAAGGAAGGCACCAAACCAGGCCAGCTCCCAGCCTAAACACTGCTCACTCTTCACTGTCCCCCAGGGTCGCTGCTGGTACTGCCCACCTACATCAAGTCCCAACCCAGCCTGACAATGAGAAAGGGCTCTCCATGGCCTCCAGGATCCCCCTCAGTCCCCCTAGCCCTAGGCTGCCATTCCCGACCCTTCCTAATCTGTCCCCTGCGCCACTCCCCACCTCTTGCCTCTGTCCATCCAGCCTCCTCCTTTCCAAGGACACTCCATACTTTGTTGTCCAGTCGTTAAGGAATGAACAATACTTCATGACCCCATGAACAGTCCATGGGGTTTTCTGGACAAAGATACTGGAGTGCTTTGCCATTTCTTTCTCCAGTGGATTAAGGCAGAGGTTAACTGATTTACCCAGGGTCACACAGCTAGTGTCTGAGGCCAAATTTGAACTCAGGTCTTCCTAACTCCAGGTCTGGCTCTCTATCCACTGAATTGAACCATCTAACTGCCTCCATACGCTATTCTAACCAGAAATAATAATAATAATAATAATATCAATTCTATATTATGTGTCTATTATGTGCCACGCACTTAACAAATGTTAGCACATTTGATCCTCACAACAATGTTGGAAGGGAGGTGCTATTATTATCCCAATTTTACAGATGATGAAAAAGAGGCTGACAGAAGTGAAATGACTTGCCCAGGGTCACACAGCTAGTAAATGTCTGAGGTTGGATTTGAACTCGGGTCTTTCTGACTTCAGGCCCAGTGCTAGCTGGCACATGCCTCACTCATTCCTACCTCTGGGTCTTTGCTTTTGTGCTTTTTTCATCACCTTATTTCCAAACACATTTCTCTCCCTCTCCCTTGCCCTCCCCAGAGAGCCATCCCTTATAACAAAAAGTAAAGAGACAAAACAAAAAAATCAGTTCAGCAAAACTGCCTGATACATCGATATGTGCCTGGTTGCACAACCATAGTTCTCCAGAGACCTGTGTCAAGACAGGAAGGAGATCTTGCCTGTGTTCTCTTTTTCATTGTCACTGGGACCTCCAGTCCCTCCATCTCTCAGTCTTTTCCCACGTCCTGATTTCAGCTTTGCCTCCCTTTCCTCCCTCATCAGTCTTGACCAAGGACTTGACAAGTTCCTGATTCTGTCCTCTGGAATCCACCTTGTCCTCCCCCTCTAGTGCCCTCTTACCTCCCTCATTAGACTTGGAGTGCCTTGAGGGCAAGGGCTCTTCGTCTCTCTAGTGCTTAGCACGGTGCCTGGTACACAGTAGGCACTTACTAAGTGTTTATTGATTGACTAAATCTTCATTAAAAGGGAAAGCTCTAACATGGAAGCTCCCTGCACTGATGAAATCAAAGGTCTAGTCAGAAAACAAATCAATTCTCTACCCCATCCACCATATTGATTGTTCTGAATCTTCTCTCGTCTCCAGATTCTTTTCTCTGATCACACCTCCAACACCCTAGCCCAAGTCCTCATCACCTCTCTACTGATTCCACCGCAATAACCTCTCCGCCTAAATGTCTCCCCTCTCCCAACCATCCTCCATACAAACAACAAAACAATATTCCTAAAGCACAGACCTGACCATGTCACTCCCCTAATCCATAACCTCCAGTTGCTCCCTATTATCTCTTGGATCAAATACAAACATGTCTGTTTGGTATTTAAAGCTCTAACCTACCTATCTCATCTTATTATATATCAACACAATTCATATACTTTACTGTCCAGCTAAACTGGCCATCTTCTCATTCCTCACATATGACAGTCTATCTCCCATCTCCATGCTTCTGTATGCAGGCTTTTTCCCACCCACCCACCCCCATCCTTGGAATGTACTGCCCCCTCACTTCTGCCTCTTGGAATTCTTTCAAAACTCCAAAAATCTGGTGAATACGTGGTCCCCTCCACCTAAGACAGCCTTCTTTCCTTTCTTCCTTTCTCCCCTTCTCCAAATCTTCCTTGTCAACAAATTCCATGTCCAAAAATTCTTCTGAGATCAACTCAGACCCCAAGGATCTCTCCCGGCTCTGAGCTCCTCCAGCACTGACTTACAAAACTCTCTTTTGACCCTGATCACTCAGGGACCTCTGCCAGCTTTCATATCATCTCCCTGTCTTAACTTTCTGGGTGAATCATCCATAAAGTGAGGGGGCTGGACTTAACTTCTCGGGGCCCTTCCAACTCTAATATTCTAGGCTTCTCCCTCTCCCTCCTCCAGCACAGTTGCTCCAAAAATACTGTGAATCCTGGAATGTCAGAGCTTGAAGGGGCCCCTAGCTAGAGGGAAAAGGAAGTCCAGGGAGAAGGACTGAGAGTTACCAAGCAGCAGAAGCTGCATGACTACCCAGGTCTTCTGCCTGCCTCCTACTCCAGAACCCCTTCCCCTAACTATGCCAGCTTATCCACTCAGATTTAGCATTGTGCCGTGCCAGGGCTGGCCCCAACTTGGAGGAAGCTGAATAAGGCTGCCATCCCCCACCATTCCCCCCATGCCAAGGACCCCTCACCGACCTGGAGCACATAATCCAGAGCCAAGTGGCGGAAGCATTTGCGGGTGAGGGTCAATGCTCCAGTGGCCTCCTCAACCTCATGTGGCCGATGCCGCGGGGCCTGCGCATTCTTCACCAGAGACATCTCCATGTCCTCTCGGACCTTGTCAAATTGTTTCTTTGTTTCTTTGAATTTCCTAACGTCACTGTGGAAAGCGGGGAGGAGAGGTCAGCCAGGGAGGGAGGGGGAGTCAGGGTAGAGGATAAGGTCTCAGACACCCTAAGACTCACTGTGTATGCTCCTGATAGGCATCGACTTTGGGGCCTCTGTTTTTCCTATCCAGAGAATGGTTAGAACTCCCCCTCCTCATTGGGAAGGGGATGTCCCAGCCATACTGACTCTGGGAGGGGTGGGGGCAGGGATTTGATCCCAAGTTGAAAAAGCCACATGAGCAAAGGGCTATTAGCTGAAGTGAGCCTGCTCTCTGCCAGGATGGAGCAAGCGTGCAAGGAAGCAAACCAATAACATGGAAAATCTGTTTTGCATGACTTCACATGTAACAGCAATATCATATTACTTTCCTTAATGTGTGGGGAGGGGTGGGAGAGAGGACAAGAATTTGGAATTCAAAATTTTCAAAAAGGAATGTCAAAATTTTTGCATGTGTAATTGGGAAATATTTAACAAAATAAAAATATAGGAAGGAAGGAAGAAGGAAGGAAGGAAGGAAGGAAGGAGGGAAGGAAGGAAAGAAGGAAGGAAGGAAGAAGGAAGAAAGGAGGAAAGAAGGAAGGAAATAAGGAAGGAAGGAAGAAGGAAGGAGGGAGGGAGAGGAAAGGAGGGAGGAAGGAAGGAAAGAAGGAAAGAAGGAAGGAAGGAGGGAGGGAGGGAAGGAAGGAGGGAGGAAGGAGGGAGGGAAGGAGAAAGGAAGGGAGGGAGGAAGGGAGGGAGGGAGAGAGAGAAAGAGAAAGAGAGAGAGAGCTGAAAGGATGAGGCTAGATGGACAAAGTGGGTCTACATCATGGAAAGCCTTGAAGGGCAAGTTATTCCATTTCTGTAGCAAAAAAAAGCAAAATGCTTTTCTCACAACAACCCTGTGAAGTAGTGAATATAAGCCTGATTAGCCCCATTTTACAGACAGGGAAACTGAGGCACCATAAGTGCTGTATTCAAAGGATCAGTGATTAAGAGCTGGAAGGGACCTTATAGGTCACCTAGTCCATGCGCATTCATTTTAAAGAAACTGAGGATCAGAGAGGTTAATTATCTTGCTTAAGGACACACAGCTAGCAACAGGATTCTAGTTCAAGTCTTCCCAACTCCAAGTCCAGAATTCTCTCCACTACCTTACATGCCCTAAAGTAGACTACAAACTCTTAGAGAGTAGAGATACTTCTCTTGTGTCTGCATCCCGAGAGTCCAGCATGTAAGAGGCATTAAATAAATGCTTGCTGAATTAGAGACAATGTAGTACGGTGAAGGAAAAAAAATGGAAGTAGAGTCCTGAGTTGGATTTGACTCCTAACTGGGTCATCATTCATTGATTCATGCAGCATTTATTGGGCCCCTCCTATGTGTTAGGTGCTGAGTATACAAAAGTCAACAAAACGGTGCCTGCCCTCAGGGAGCTTATATTCTAATGAGGCGAACAACAGATACACAGCAAACTAAATACAAAATATATATACCCTAACTTCCCACTAGCAGGTAGGGATGGAGGGCTCAGGAAATCTTCCCATAGAAGGAAGTACTTGAGTTGATCTTGGAAGAAAGCTAGGGATTCTAAGAGGCAGAGTGGAGAAGAGAGCACATTCCAGGCACGAGGGACCCTGCATTAAGGCACAGGGTGGAGATGGGAAGTTGTGCGAGGGGACAGCCAGGAGGCCAGATAAGTGGGAGGTTAGCAGAGAGGGCATAAAGGAGAGTCCTGGGCTAGAAGTGGAGAAACGAAGGCTTAGAGCCAGATGGTGGGGCACTCCAAGAATCAAACAAACAAGAGACATACGGAGATAGATACACACACACACAGTATGTGCATATACAGAAAAATATATGCACACAATGCACATATAGTGTGTACACGCATGCAAACACACATGCACACAGCACATGGCATATACAGTTTATATATACAGGCGAACATGCATGCACACACACAGTATATATCTACAAACACACTCATGCATGCACAAATGTGTACATACATGCACATGTGCATGCACACCATATGTGCATATCAGCAAACATGCATGCTCACACCTAGTCACACAATAGATCCGCAAATATACATATACACTAATATATACACACATGCACACTCAGTGTAGTGCAAACACATACATACCTATATACATGCATATATACTAGAAGATTTAAGAAAGATATTTCGTGCATGAGCTAAGATAGATCTTTCTGTGTATGTATATGTATTCATACATGTGTGTATTATGTTTTATATGTCCTCTGACTCTGAAAGTCCTTCATAGCCTGATTTCAAGCTTCCCTTTCTAAGTTTATCTAATATAGATCTTCTACTGTATGTAATGTATATTTGTGTATGTGTATTTGTGTTGTTTGGTCATTTTTAGTTGTATCCAACTCTCTGTGACCCCGTTTGGGGTTTTCTTGGCAAAGATACTGGAGTAGTTTGCCACTTCGTTTTCCAGCTCATTTTACAAATGAAGAAACCAAGGCAAAAAGGGTTAAGTGACTTGCCTAGGGTCACACAGCTAGTAGGTATCTGAGGTCAAATTTGAACTCAGGTCTTTCTGACTCCAGGCCTGATGCTCTGTCCACTGCGCCACCTAGCTGCCCATGTGTGTATTATTAGAGACAATTGTTCAGTCCCCATTAGCTGCGTCTTCATGACCCCATTTGGGTTTTCTTGGCAAAGATACTGGAGTGGTTCGCCATTTTCTTCTCCAGCTCATTTTCACTAGAGGCAATAGGGAGCCCCTAAGGATTCTTGAGCAGGAGAGTACCATGGTCAGCCCTGTGTTTAAGAAATACCAACTTATAATCTATGGGGAAAATGACTTGGAGAAGGGAGAGCCTGGAAGCAGGGGGACCTAGGAGGAGGCTACAGTAATAGTACGATGAAGAGCTGATAAGCCCCTAACCTAGGCAGTTTCCCTGTGTGAGTGGAGATATCTGGCCACTCTCTGGGCACAAGGAACGAGGGAGAAGAAAGGTCAAGAATGACTCCAAAGTTGCTAACTTGGGTGCCCAGGATGGCCAAGGATGGTGCTGGAGGTTCAGAAGAGGGGAGGGTTCGGGGAGAAGCTAAGCAGTCCTAAGTCTGAGAAAGGAGCCCTCAGCACATCTTAAGGGCAATGCCCAGTGATGTGTCGGTGAGATGGGAAGGGAGCTTGGGGAAAAGACCAGGGCTGGTTAGAGGGATCTGGGAATCATCAGCACAGAGGCAATCACTGAACCCATGAGAATGAGATCACCAAGAGCCACAGGTAGTATGGAAGAGAAGTGAAGAAGCCCAAGAGAGGAGAGAGCCCTGGAGGATGATCTTTGTGACCTTAAGCAAAACATTTCACACCTCACTTTCATGAGACAACCACTAAGGTCTCTTCTAGCTCTGAACTGACTCCCATGAATAGAAAGTGACCTGTCCAAGGTCACTCAGCAAGGCAGCATCCAAGCCAACCAAGAGAGATCTTCTGATGCATCTTTCCAGTTCACCCCTTTCACCCATAATAAAGGCATCTGGGTCTTCCTTGTGTATGTTTGGGTGGGAGGTAAGGGGGAAAGGGGGGAACTGGGAAGAGGAGGAGGAGCACCTTTGGGTGGGGGAGGGTGAGATGAGGGGAAAGGGAGTGGCTTTGGGTGGGGGAGGGGGAGCTGGGAAGGGGGGGAGCACCTTTGGGTGGGGGAGGGTGAGACGAGGGGTGAGGGCGTGCCTTTGGGTGGGGGAGGGGGAGCTGGAAAGGGGGGAGCACCTTTGGGTGGGGGAGGGTGGGCTGGGAAGGGGAGGGGGAGCTCCTCCGGGGGCAGGCTGAGCCGTACTCACTCTTTGACAAAATTGTGGAGTTGCTGCCGCACTGACCGCTGGGCCTGGTCAAACAGGATCTAGAAACATCCAAAAGGGAGAGATTTTGGGAAGACCTGGGAAGGGGAGTCTTTGCCTTCTGCTCCTGAAACATCCAGGGGGACAGGGAGAGATTTCTCCCCAAATCTAGGTTGTCATTCCCGAGGCCAACTGTCTCCTGACCTTCCTTCCTCCCCCCTCCCCCACCAGCTTAGACACTGGGCTTAGGGTCCAGCGCTCAAGCCAGGACTGTTCTTTCCTCCAGGGAAGGACCCCCGATGCAGTCTTCCCTCCCCAGACAAGGAACCTGCCCCATCGGGCCATTGTTCAGAAGCCTGACAACCTCCCGCATCTACATAAGGGCTTCCCCGCACGGCCAGCAGATGGCGCTGCTGCTTAGGGCTGCCCAGATGTTTGCCCAGCTTTGGGGCAAGGGGGTCTGTTTTTTCTCTCTGATTGGGGGTGTCAAGGGTTCCCTGGATAACCCACCAATCCCACTAAGCCTCTGTTCATGAGAACCCCTACATGGACTCATATGGGGGGGAGGGGAAGGGAGACAGGGTTGGAAGATCAGTGTTGCCTAGCGGATGTGAGCAGCTGTGTCTCAGCACCCGCCTCCCACCGGCCAAGGCTCACAGCCCACGAGTACCCACAGCTGCCTCAGTCCAGCCCCCTCCCAGGTGCACACAAATAGCCACACACTCCACCCCCAACTTTAGGACCCCCAACAGCAATGTAGGACAAGGTGCTCCCATTAGGGCAAGGGATTGTGGGATACTAGAAGAAGAGCTAGGATGGACCCTAGACACCATCTGGTCTAACCTCATCATTTTACAGATGAGGAGACTGAGGCCCAGAGAGGTTAGGGCACCTGCCCAAAGTCACACAGCTAGGAAGCAACAGGGTGAGGAATTCAAACTCAGGTAGTAGGACCCCAAGTTCATCATTCTTTTCCCCCTGTACCAGGCTGCCTCCTTGGGAGGTTGAAAAACATTGCCCTCTCCCACCTGAGGAGGGAATCAGGAGTGGGGGAAGGGGCTAGCCCTTGGCTAAGGGGTGGGTGCTGGGAAGGGACAGGACAGGAGGGGGGACCTCTGCTCCACGCTGGACACGGGGGCAGCCCCATCACTGTCTTGTAGCTCTGGGAGTGTTTATTTCTGAACTTCCCCTGCTGGGTGGGTGGGGAAAGGAGAGGGGGGGTTGTTTAGTCTGGGCTCAGGCTCCCAGGCTGTGTCC